GAGGTTATGGCCAAAGTGATAGAGACATAAATTCTAGAGTCGAACACATTGATCTGTTCTGTAGACACGTAACTAAAGAAAGAGAGCTTCTTAGAGCTCAGCTTCCTAAACAAGCTCTTGGCATCTCTCCTTAATAAGTTATGTGTCCAGAGTAAAAATCAGCCCATACAGCTGTAGAGCTTTTTGGCAAAATGCCATTCATGATATAGTCATGCCTTCAAAGTAATGATGTCCATAACTATATCTAACTATATCTGCAGGAGAAGATATTGCTGAACCCTTTGATGACCACGTTACACTGCCATCATCCTAATCTCATCCCTAAATACCTTATGCCAATATGGAATGTCCTATTTACTTCGCTTTGACATCTCAGTGCAAGCCTAGTTTAACTTAACTGATTAAGGCATTCCATTTTGGAGTAGGTTCCTTTGTTAAACACGTTGGTCTGTAAGGGTCATTAAGTGTTTGACTCTGTAAAAATATGAAAACAATGGTTTATAAAAGGTAGAATTATGAAGTTTATATAAATTAGTCATCATCATACTATGAAAACGGAAGTATATCATAAAAATCTGTTGTGCTGTTAAAAAATAAATGTAAAAATCCTGACATGGCAATAAAAACAAAGCTGCATTTTTTTTTAAAGAAAAAAGACATAATTATATAGAACTGTACAAACAACCTACTGTTCAGAATAACCTGGTGTAACCTAAGATCTTTCATGGGTAATAACAAGGTAGCTTTTTATTTACATTTTTTAGCTACATGGTCGTCAAGTGCACTTGAAGGTTGGCATTTCATTTTCTAGTCTTTTTTATTTTTTTATTATTGTGATAACCCAATTGAAATAAACTAATGAAAACACTAGTTGACAGGCCTTTTCATTTAATTATTTCACTTTTATTCCCACATAGTGTACAAGCTACCATTTACATGTGTTTTCAAAATGTGTAACATTTCATTTATCCATGTTCAATCTCTACCTGTAAAATTTAAAACTGTCTGAAATGTAAACAAAAATGAAATAATAAAAATAGTAACTTTAGTAAAACCATTACTATAGAAATTAAAGATGCAGGAGCAAAGCCTGAAATTAACTTTTGTTTTGTTGAGACACTTCTGTTAAACACTTCTAACAATATATTTTAGTTGTTTTCCAGTCCATGTTTTAAAAGCACACCATAAGCCTTTGTGATGCATGGTAGTGGACTGCGTGATACCCTACACACGTAGTCAGATTCATGTTCATTCTGTTTTGTATTGACAAGGTGTTTATCACCATTGGATTCAATATTTTGAGTTATTAGTATTTAATTTTTAAAATAAATTATAAAATTATTCTTGTACACTTTTTGTCACATGGTAGATTACAAAATGGCCCTGATTATTAAACCTTCCTTACTTTAATTGATTTTCTGAGAATAGACACTCAAATTGCTATAGCGCCATACACTCTTGATGTCATAAATAACTAGGTTGAACCAATTATTAAGGGTACTAGGACCATGCAGAGGGCACTGCAACAGACAGTTCTTTAAGCGGAATGGGGGTGTTCTCTATTCTTGGGCAGTGCCAGTGACGTGATTCGTATCACTGGCCTAACTTTTTTTGCCCGTCCCACTGGCCACCTGATTCATGGGACACCAGTTTTGGGGGGGTATGCTAATTTTATAAGTGAACATGTATAAAATTGCTAATAAGTTAAACATAAAATGTTAAATATTGTACTCTTGTATTATTAAACAGCTCAGTAGTTTGCAGGACATTTTAAATAATACATTTCAACCCACCTGCCCTGGAATTAAATATGCCTCTGATATAAATCACACATCTACTAGGTAAGTCCAGTCTGCTTTCAGCTAGTAGGATTTAATATACAAATTAAAAAAGCAATTTAAGAAGCAATTAAAAGTTTAAAACAAATTAAAATCAGGCACATGCTGGCATTATGAGAAAAATAAAACATGGAATGTGTAAGTGAGAATTAATGATTGAAAACCACTTTAAAAAAACAACAGTTTTAACAATTGTAAACAGGAAACATGCACTTTTGGATTTTCTTTGTATTCTTTGTTAAAGGCTTACTATAACCGCCCAGACCACATCATCTCAGTTTCTGGGTGCAGTGGCCCTCTACTTTCATCGATCATGTTTCACTCGGTCACGTGACGTTCAATATCCACGAGAAGGTTGAGCGTCATCAGCCTATAGTCAAGCATTGAATTCAGTGCTTCCTTATGAGAAGCATTTGATTGGATTAGATGTGAGTCTCGGAACTGGAGAAAAAGGTAAGTAAAACTTCTCTTTTTTTTTACAGGTCAAAAGGGGTGGAGTGGTGAATCTAAATATGGCCTAGGACACTATAGTATTAGGAATACGTTTGTATCCCTAACGCTAGTGTTCCTTTAATGTTTAGTTGACAAGTTCACTTTAAGACATACTCAGAAAGGAACAGCATTTTTACTTTCATGAAAATTGTACTTTTCACAATCTTAATAAACAGCAATTAGTATTCTCCTTAAATTCAACAGCCTATTTACTAAACTGTGTATCCCTCTCCCTCATAGCAGTTTTCTTCAATAAATAGTGGGTCAGTGATCTGAATTTACCCCTGTGTTCTTTCCTTAATTATAAATTCATGGTACGGGGCTGGGAATGTGTAGGACCTGAACACATGTGGGTGAGTGTGATTAAAAAAAGGATTGTTAGATATACTGTAAGTAGAATGTAGATAGATCAAGGCAGACTAATTTTAGTGATCACCCATGTACAACCCTGCATTATGCTAATGTTTGGAATGTATTTATAAAATTAGCAAATACACAGTCTAGTTTCTTTATACAAATGACATCTCTGCTACTGATAAAGAGCTATGGTTTGTAATGAATAGATTTATATTTATTACCTGCATAATTGAGTGTTTTATATTGTATTTTTGCTGCTGGTTGTTAAATTTGTGATATTGATTAAACACTGATTGAATTTCAAGACAATCAAAAATACCATTATGTCTGTATATAGCTACTGGAAACCTGGAATACCTGAATAGCATAGAAAATGCTTTATTTTCAATATGCTGTTAACACAAAATAAATGCTTTACTATTTAGTCTATTTGTGGTAAATGACTCAGAAAAAATGAATGTCTTGGTATAAAAGAATGGAAATAATTTGTCATGTGAACATCTTTCTAATTTTTTTTTTAATACACAGCGGAATCGAGGCCTCACCATATCACACAAGATACAGATCTCTTCAAAACTACATAAACCCACTTCTTAAGTTACCGAAGGAAATATAGGAATTAATTGCTACGTAATTGTGGCAGTATCCCAATAACAACAAAATAATAATAAATATATATATATTTCTTTTTAATTTAAAGGGACACTATAGTCACCCAGACCACTTCAGCTCAATGAAGTGGTCTGGGTGCCAGGTCCCCCAGGTTTTAAACCTTCAGATGTAAACATAACAGTTTCAGAGAAACTGCTATGTTTACATAGCAGGGTTAACCCAACCTCTTAGTGGCTGACTTCCTGATTGCCACTAGAGGTGCTTCTGTGGCGCTGGATGCGAAAATCGCATTCAGCGTCCAGAACATCCATAGGAAAGCATTGATACTGTTTGAATGCGCGCGCTGCTCTTGCCGCGCATGCGCATTCCGCTCCACTCGGGAGCTGACGTCGGCGGTGGAGGAGAGGTCACCAGCGATTTTTAAATACTGAGATGAACTGACTCCATTGTGTATTATTTATATAATTTGGGTAATTTTAGTTCTTCAACAACTATACTTATTAAAATGCATGTACAGGGTAGTGCTTCCTACTTGAGCATTTATAATGCAAATATATATCGTATACTTTACAACTTTTAGCAGAAAGCGAAGAAGTCATTCTGATTATTTAAAGACTAAAGATGAACTTACAATACACACAAAGTGTTCTTACAAAAACGTTCAAAACATGCAATGGAATTTACATTTATTAAATACTGAAATGTGACAGATATACTTAAATTAACTAGCCTGATGTATACAACAAAAGTCTTTTTAAGATATATTTTAATTAACTAGCCTGATTTATAAAACACAACTGTTTCCAGTTTTCGGAATGGGCTTTTGTCAAATAGATCTGTACATCTGAAAACCATTAACCACCAAAGACATAAGAAATGTCATATATATTTATTTGAATTCCTTAGCTTTAAAGTTACTTTCCTGTATATAGATATATATATACTTTGAAGCGTAGGACTTAAAATTTTAAGCCTTATATATAATTATACCAAAACTAGAAGCACACGTTCAGGAATTTTTAAATCAAACTTTTCACTGCTTTATGAATTTCAAAAGCAGATAATCACAATGTATTAACGTTTTAGCCTCAACGGGAGACTTTTCTCAAGTCGTCTTGAGAAAAGTCTCCTGCTGAGACTAAAACATTGATATGTTTGATTTAAAGTTTCCAGAGAGTGCACCTCTTCTTGTTTGGTATAACTATGGATGGTTGCTGCACCAGGGCAAGCACAAATTAACTAAACTGTGCACTCAGTTCTTGGAATTATATAAGCTATATTTTCTAAAGGGCTCATTGGGAACCTCCCTACGTAGTCACTTTGTCCGTTGGAACAAGGTATCCACATTGGAGAAAGTTAGTAGGCCTGGCCTCATTTTAAGCTGCCCAGGTTAATTATTTTAGGAATGGGGACAAAGTATTTGCAGTTGTAATCTATAAACTTGCATTTTATATATCTTAAATTTAATATGAATATTCTACAGTGATGTCCCGAACAGTTCGCCGCGGACTCATCATTGAGTAAACTTTGACCCTGTACCTCACAGTCAGCAGACACATTCCAGCCAATCAGCAGCAGACCCTCCCTCCCAGACCCTCCCACCTCCTGGACAGCTCACTAAGAATGCAGCTTCAAAATGGATGCTGTCCAGGAGGTGGGAGGGTCTGGGAGGGAGGGTCTGCTGCTGATTGGCTGGAATGTGTCTGCTGACTGTGAGGTACAGGGTCAAAGTTTACTCAATGATGAGTCCGTGGCGAACCGTTGGCGAACCGTTCGGGACATCACTAATATTCAAATCACTCTAGTCTTTTGTTATAGTGAATATTTCAGTAAATACGAATTTAATTGTAAACTTTAACCTTAAAAAAACAAACATAGCCAACTGAAACACAAAAATAATAATAATGTTATATATTTGCTAGATGCGTTCTCTTTTGTGATCCTTGTTTCAGTTCATAACTAAGATAAAATCGCTGTATTCTGAGGAGTTGGGGAGAATACTCTAATTAAAACGTCAGTGCTGTTCGGTGTAGATGCTCTTTTCTCTTGGTCTTTCAATTCTTTTTGCACTACAAAAGATAGAAAAAATATTTCAAAATTGATGTAAGAATTTTTTGGGGGGAAGCTACATATATTATTTGGCTCTGTAAAACCATGGCTTTTTGTATAGAGGTTGAAATGACTTCACTCCTGCCTCGGGTTAAAGAACAAAAACAGTCAACAGAGCATTTTGTACCAGAGAGACAATGATTAGTTAACAAAGTGTCTTCAAATAAGCCAGAGAGTTTGATGTCAAGCTGAGTTGTGCGTTTTTCTAAAGGCAAATTGAAAGAAATATAAACCAAGGTACGGTTGAATAAAATCAATAGCAAGCTTTAAATGGAGGCATTCAGCAAATTGTGCAGAAGAAGATGACAATAGATAACCTAAGAGCTTTGTAAATATAATACTTCCTATCGGACAATGCACAACAAGTCACTTGGAGCAGACTAAATATGCCCTACTGCATTAAATGGTTTATTTGTCTTGGATAAACAAACTTACTTAAATGGTTAATCCAATCAAAAAACACTGTTTTTAAAAAACACTGGTTTTGAGTACAGTAACCCTTTCTGTGGTGCCCCTCCACCAACAACAAAAAATATATATATAGAAAGGAAGAAAATAGCTTAAACTTACCTCTTATCCTTCTCCAAGGCCAAGTTATCCTCTCAGCCCGATCCTTCTTGGTTGTTGTCACTCTTCCTCACCGATTGTGGGGAGGGTGGACTGAGGAGAGGACAGGGGCCGCACGGATGATGGAAGTGTGCATGCTGCTCTCAAATGCCAGTTTTGCACAGAATTGATATAAGCCTACTCCACCTCCGGCAGACAAGGGGTTACTCTCGGAATGTGCAGCGTTTCAAACTAACACCACCCAGGCACCATAACCACTTTAAATCACTGAAGTTATGCTTGGAGTAACACTTTACTTACGTTTATGTCAATCCTTTCATAAACAATGACATGATGGGACTGTCACAATAACAAATAATTTGCCTGTTCCTAGTAGTTAAGGGGTTAATAGACATTATTCTGTAGCGCTGTACAATGGGTATCACCTTTAGCCATTGTTGTCCAGCATGTATATACTGCAACATATTCTGCAACACTCTAAATACAATTATTGAGTGGGGTGATACAACAACAAAAAAGTAACTGACAAACAAAATCAGTGTGTTGGCAGATATAAGAATTGTAGAGAGCCCTGCCTACATGAGCTTACAATCTAAAAATGATGGGCTGAGCTGATATATTTGCACAGCCTTCCTAAACACTTCCTGTAAAGTGTAATCTAATGTTTACACTTTCTTTATTGCAAATTATGTTATATTTAGAAAATCTTATCTCCTGCATTGTTAATAGCTTCATAGACTCTGCATGAGCCTCCTGTATGTAATTAAACTTCAATTTACATAGCAGGAAATACAAACTTTTAAAGTAAGTTACATCTGACTGAAAATGAAACCATTTTGTTTTCATGCAGGCTGTGTCAGTCACAGAAAGAGGAGGTGTGGCTAGGGCTGCATAAACAAAATCAAAAGTAGTTTAACGCCTAAAAATGGCAGTGAATTAAACAATGAAACTTCAGAGGCATGATCTATACACTAAAAGGGCTTCATTAAGTTAAAGTTGTTTTGGTGACTATATTGTCCCTTTAAAGATTAACCCAAACGTAACCCTAACTCTAACCATCAGCCCTTACACTACCTTAAAACTAAATGTTAACCACTAGACTAGTCTAACACTAACCATTAACCCCTACACCAGGGGTTCCCAAAAGGTAAATCCCCAGATGTTGTTAAACTACAATTCCCACGATGCTTTACATGCCTTCAGAATGACAAGGTATCATGGAAGCTTTAGCACCCCTGCCCTATACTACCTTAATATTTACACTAACATTAATAAAATACAAACTTGAAGCAGATATCAGGGAAAATGTCATCCAAGAAATAGACTGCAAGGTAGCTTAAATGAACACATAATAAAAACCTATTAATGCTTTATACGACATGCCCCTTAGATTTTAAAGCTACTAGTATTGTATATATAATGACCTTTGGAGAAATCCAGCAATGTTTACTAATCCAGTATCTTGTGACCTTTTTATCACAGCATTCTCAGCTGTTGCTGCCACATTAGAACCCAAACCATCTCAGTTGTAGAGAGACTCCATATGTTTTTGATGGGGGCATTTCAGTTGACACTCAGATTACATCTCAGGCGTTTGTAGTGGTTTTATCTGAATCACTGTAATACTTCAGGCATTGCTGGCTTATTTATCGGTACTGGAATACTTTATATATAATTTGATAATCAGAATTCATAAATAATAATGATAATCAGAATTCATAAATAATAATGGTATCAGTTTAAAATGCATTATCAAGGGGCGATCTCACTAATATCAGTGTTACTGAGCAATGCTCTTCTTAAAGAGGCACTCTAAGTACCATAACCACCACTGCTAACTGTATTGGTTATGGAGCAGATTATTTTTGTGTTTTTCCAAAATTTTTATTCAAACTGTTTTTAAACAGTTTGAGAAAAGCTGGGGCTCTCCAGCTGCTTTAAGCTTTGCCTCCCTGTTGAGGCTCTGCTAACATGGAATGAACATTCACACATCCCTGTCCACCTCTGGACAGTAGTGACAGGACAGCCTGAAATCACTCAGGGCAGGTTAGAATAAGAAAATAGTAATTAGAATTAAAAGGAACACTTCCAAGTACCATAATTACTACACATTATGTAGTGGTTATGGTGCCAGGAGTGCCCTGGTACCCCCAACCCCCCCAGTGTAAGTACTCAAACTGCCTTAGCATGTTTGGACTTCTTATCTGGGTTCCACTGGGCATTGCTTTCCATCTCCACTACCGAATGCTAGCTCGCCTGAGCAAGGCTGATCGCTGTCAGCCAATAGCTGACAATAGCTCTCCATAGCAAGCAGGGAGGCAGGGAGTGGTGCTTGGAAGATCCACAGGGCACTCAGAGTACCATAACAACTATAAAGAGCTATAGTTGTTATGGTGCCGTCGATGTTCCTGTAAAAAAAAACCTTTCTTTAAAAGAAAATTTAAGATTTTTTTTTTAATAATCAAAGTACTCTCAAAGTAGGCTAGTGTCACCTAAGGCAACCATGGGAAGATATCTCACTGGGGTGCTTCACAACTTTGCCACACGTTCAGTGACAAATAGTCATTGCATGCCGACGGGACTTCCTGATGTTAAAGCTTCACATCTTTGTTACTATGGTAAAATATGAGCGCTTAGAAGCTCACATATGCTAGGTAAAAAGCACAGAGTTACTATAAGAAGATAATAGTTATGAATAATTCTTTAGTTTTATAAACAACAACAAAAAATAGAACAGAATGTTGCTTCAAACATAAACAATGACCTTCATGGTTTTTAAATCTTTTTGTTGCATAATAAAGTCAATGTAAGAGTACATTCACATATATTAGGAAATATATTAAGAGTTGAAAAGAATTGGTTTGTCTTCCTTCTCACTATAAAAAAAAGCAAAAAGGTTTCTAGTACTATCCTATGTTTTTAATATATATTTTTTTTTAGTAAGCCTCAACATATTCCACAGTGCAGTACTCTATGACGAAGTGACATACTGGTCGTAACTCCCCAAAAAATGCAGTTTAGTTCATTGTGGCTTCAGTGTGTGTCTGTAAGTGTTCTTTTTGTATTATTATATTGTATTTTTCACTTTCAGGTAGGAAATATTGAACGTAGGAGCTGATAAAGTGCATGCCTTTGGGAAACTAATATTCATCAGGTTAGTAGACTGCCTGTGACAGTCGCTTACACCGCCACCGGAGACATGGTTGACACAGACAGTAGTTAGTGGAGGTGACTGTGACTTGTGATATAGACATGAAAAGGTGTGAGATCTCTCTTCACTGTTGTCTGGTTACAACAAGCCCATGTATTGATGCTCTGCTATCTGTAAAAACATATGGCGTTTTTAAACAGTATCACAACCTCCGAATTCTTGTTGCTAGGTGCAGTAAAATGACTTTGTTATTGGGCTGACATAAAATATACAAAACATGTACTCTATAAAAGGACAGGGATAGAAATTTGATTTTGCAGCATAAAAAGATTGCTTTCATTTGATAACATCAGTGTCCTTATCAAACCCACATTAAACCAAAGACAGCTAAACGATAGATACCGAGCTGTTGCAAAACAACACCCATGATGCTTTGCTAGCCTTCAGATTGACAAAAGCATAGTGAATCTGTGGTTCTACAAGAGCAAAAAAATCAACCTTTTTTCCAGCTCTACCTTAAACTATACATATAGTATCACTAAATGTTTACTAAAGCTGTAAGTAACTGATCCTCAATTTAATTGCAAGATTAATTAAGATTTTACTTTCCACAAGTTAAACAGTGAATGCAAAGTAGTTAGTTCCAAGCTGTTACACATTATAGTGTTTACACTTTAAATAATGTTACTATAATTTCAAAAGATTACAGTGGTGCCCACTTTCCCACACCCCTCCATTTCCAATATATATGCCAAAGCCTTCTGCGTGCCTTTTGCCCAGTGCCCTCCGTTACAAATGTCCTTTCCTGCTTTCCGCTGTAATGTATACCTTTCTTTTTCATGTCATCTGCATGTTGTTTCTTTCCCTCTTTTATTCTAAAGCCCATTCCAAACCATTATCTATTTTTGTTATTTCCCTCACTGACCTGAGGGCCGGTGGGACTACACAGCGCAGAGCTACACTTGATTTGTGTGATGTCAGTGCAGAGCTGCAACCTGTGAGCCAATACGTGTATAAAGGGCCAGTATGCAGCCAGGGCCAGTGCAAGGATTTTTGCCGCCCTAGGCAAAAGTAAAGTTTGCCGCCCATGTGACATCACAATGCCCCACCCATATGATCTGCCATGTTAACTAACACCAGTGCAGCAGTGCCGCCATGTTTACATTAAAAGCCTGCAGGGACAGGCTATAGACACCAGGACCACTACATTAAGCTGCAGTGGTTCTCGGGACTATAGTGTTCCCTTTAATGTGAGGTAAATTAGAGATTAGTGCCACGAATAATATACTAGATTGCCTACTTACAACCAGATGAGGATGATGATGGGCTCTAGCTGCAGTCTGGCTCCGCTGGTCTGGTGTAGAACAGGCTCTCTGGAGGCTGTTTGTAACTGTGGTCACAAAAATCAATGTTCTGGGAGAACGGGAAGCAGCTCTTTTTTTGGGGGCCCTTTACACAGCTCAAGGTCTGGGTCCCAGGGTCCACCTTCATGTTCCACCAATGAGTTTGTTCACAGGGGGTGGAGTGTGTAGGGGATGGCCTGATATGTGTGTAAGGAATGCATTGTGTGAATCTGTGTTTATGAGGTTGCCAAGGTGTGTAAGGTTGCATTGCTTGTGTGTGTCTGTGTGTGTAATGCATTGTGTGTTTTCTGTGTGCAGGGTGCATTGTCTTTGTGTGTAGGGGTGCATTGTGTGTGATTGTGTGTGTGTGTAGTGGATGTCAATCTCTCCCTCTCCCATGTAAGCTCTCTTCTCCTCCCTCCCTTGTCACTCTCTTTCCTCATGTCACTCTCTCCCTCTCCCTCTCATTCCCCTCCCTCCCTGTCCTCACCCCTGTCAATTTCTTTCTCATGCGTCTCTCTCCCCCCTCCCTGTCAGTATCTTTCTCCCTCCTCCTGTCTTTCTCCCCCCCGTCATATCATATTTCAGTTTAGGTTACATTTATCCCTAAACCTAAGTCAAACTCTAACGTTAACCCTAAAGGGACACTGTAGGCACCAAACCAACTTTTAGCTTAATGAAGCAGTTTTGGTGTATAGATCATGTCCCTGCAGTGTCACTGCTCAATTCTCTTCCATTGAGGAGTTAATTCACTTTGTTTATGCAGCCCTAGTCACACCTCCATGCATGTGACTTACACAGTCTAAACAGTTCCTGTAAAGAAAGATCTAAAGTTTAAACTTCCTTTATTGCACATTCTATTTAATTTAGAATTTCTTATCTCCTGCACTGCTAATAGTTTGTAGAACCTGCAGGAGCCTCCTGTATGTGATTAAAGTTCAATTTACAGAGCAGAGATAAAAACTTCTAAACAACTGATTAAAAATTAAACCATTTTGTTCATGTAGGCTGTGTCAGTCACATCCGGGGAAGGTGTGGCTAGGACTGCATAAACAGAAATAAAAGTGATTTACCTCTTAAATGGCAGTGAATTTAGATGTAAGACTGCAGGGACATGATCAATATACCAAAACTGCTTTGTTAAACTACAGTTGTTTTAGTGATGATAATGCCACTTTAAGTCCTGGTGCTGCTGCATTTAAAGCGATGCTGAGAATCATATATCAAGTCATATATGTGATAATCCTAAACCTCTTTAACCCTAAATCCCAATTCTCCCCATTACTCTAACCTCCCCAAACCTATATATATATACCTATACACGCAGTGCTATGGTAAATGGAAATTTTTTGCAGATTCATTCTTATGAACAATGTAACTTTACGGTGCTGCTATAGCATTGTCACCATTCAAAACTCTATATTTTGATGGAAACATTTTAAATGTATTCAAATATATAGTACCCGTAATTTGCCAGACACAGGCATCACTACAGATCAAAATATTCCAACTGTAACTCCAGACCAACAATAAACAGTTATGTGTCATATCCAAACATCACTGCAGATAACTATTGTATGCTATGGAATACCTTAGTACCACTATGTGTCAACAACAATTAAAGAAACACTCCAATCACCATAACCACTACAGCCTCCGTCCTTCCCTAATCTCTGCTATGGTAAAAAAAACTGTCAGCATTAAGCCTGGAAAAGCTTTTTCGAGGGAGACGCAATGTCCTACAAATGCTAGGACAGTTAGGAGTTGCTTAAGGCAGGCAAAGCATAATAGGAGTTGTAGTTCCATGACAGCTGGGGACCACCTTTTACATCCCCTGGTATATAGTTGTGCATATACTAACATTAAATAAGAGAAAAAATGCAAACCATGTATTGATGTTATAACTAGAATCTTATAAAATAGGATACACAAAGTCATAAAATGAATAGATTAATCACAACATTTTAAGCATTTTCGTGCTGTAAGTGCCCTATTTATCCCACATCCTCATTAACAAACGTGCAGACATTGTGATACTTGGTTAATTAACACCTCAAAGAAATCAACATGTTCCAGTGAGACAAAGTGAATACTGTGAAATTGGCACTCGGGCAAAGTAATAATAACTGATTTGTGTTTCTTTTTTTTGTGAGGCTGAGAAAAAAATATATAATTTGGTTAAGAAGAAAGTGTTTTCAGTGCTTCTTGTTATAAACATGATAGTTTTGTAGATTCTGACAAATCAAGGTTTAAAGCAAATAAATACATTAATTAATTAATTAGCTAATTAATTAATTAATTAAATAAAAACAATACACTTCTCAACACTTGTGGAAATGTTCCTTTTTCCAGAATCTTTCTGGAATTGGTCATCAAACATTTTTATATAGGTCTTAAAGATAAATATATAGAGAGATACTTACATACATACAGAGCCACTTTCAGAAACATGGATAGACAGACAGATATACAGAAGGACTGACAGACGGACAGTCAGACAGACATGAAACAAGTTAATTAAGAAGACCATAACTTCGGTAATACAACTGAGAATATTTTTCTACAATATCCTCTATGTCTAATTTAAACCTAGATTTTATATTTTTGGATAAACTTTTCAAATTATTATTTTTTTTTTAATAAACTGTTAAAATGATTTAAAATTTAGAATTTTTATATTATTTTGATAATTTTTAAAATATTGATGTATTTATTTATATAAAAAAAAGCTTTTTTTATTTAGATTTATAACAAATTGAAAAAAAGAAAAAAAAACATTTGAAAAGCTTATTCCAAAAAATGAAATCGGGGACTTAATTTTAAGGATGAAAATTCTAAGCAGCCTCAGTTTTGTATACTGTCTACAAACACATATGCATTCCCCCCCAAAAAATCTTAATTTTCAATGATTTCCTTTCTTCCACCAATCTCATTTAAAGCTAATCATTACATTTCTTTTAAAATATATTTTTATTTATCAAAATTTCTATACTTTTTTTTTTTCCTCTTTCTTTAACGGTGCTATAAGTAGCCCAACCCTACTGAAACTTGACAGCAGCTGACTCTTGTGTCAAGTTGTAACTCTCATCTAAAACCAGTCTCGTGGCTTCAGTGTGAATGCTACTACGAAGACCTTTCTCTGCAATGAAAGTCACATGAAAAGATATATATAGATATTTGTCCGGACTCTAGAATTTAAGTGAATCTTCAGATGAGAGGCTGCTCACGATGTGCTAAATTAGATCTCAAAGCATCTTAAGTTTGTTTAGAACACAACATTCTCTGTTGCAGTGGAGGATATAATTATGAATAGTTTGCAAACAAACATCACAGAATTAGAAGAAAAGGACTAGGAAGAAATTATAGAGAGTTTTAAAACATAGTTTAACTGTAGATACTAGTAAAAGTCCATAATGTAACCTTTTAGGGTCCAAACAGCTCAAATAGTAAATGGTATGGTGCACTTATGTAAACTATTTGGCAAAAATAACCATATTTAAATTTTTAATAATACACAACCATATATAGATTAACTCAGACTCTAGAACCCTCCATTGAAATTTGGAACTTTCACATGAAAGAGCAAATAGCAGATTAACAACAAAAAGCATGCTGTCCTATGTACACAACACTGAGTTACCTCATACCTCCCAAGAGTCCCTATTTAGGAAGGAAAGTCCCTATTTTGACCCAAACCTTTCTGTCCCTATTTTCTAGGAGCTCTATATTGTTAGTGTTTCTGAGTGTATAACAGAGTTCCACAGCAATAATACAAGTAAAAAGAGAGAGCTTAGGCGCTCACTAAAAAACCAAAAAGTGTATAAGGCAGCAGTGAACCAGCAGGACTTCCCAATGCCTGCTATATAGTGAACAGAAATGTGAAAATAGGAAAAGTGGTAAACCGCGCCAAAAAGATTACAATTGATCATATCATACATACATACATATAGATCTCGGGTAGTACAGCATGTAAAAAACCTCAAAAAGAGATAAGAATAATAAAATAATAGTGCAATATGTTTAAATTTTGAATGGTGTAATCTTAAACAGACTTAATTGTAGATAAAAGGCAAACTCACACTTTGCAGAGCTGCTAAGAGCTCTGCTGTATAGCGCCTGGACAGTACAATCCCCGTCTTAGGATCTGTAGATGTTAGGGTGTCCAAAACTCAGCAACCATATATATGGGAGAGAAAAAAAAAAACAGAATACACAAACCAATGGTACAGTATCAAAAACCAAGAGTTGGAAAAGAAAATGTAGGTATCCTACTTACAGTATCCAGAGCAATAACTTGCTCTGGTGATGATAGCTTGTGGTGGTATGATCCCCACCAAAGGATATATGGATGTATCAGGAAACCAGCAGCACCAGAAAGCCAGAGGATTGGATAAAAAAAAGTTTCAATTTATTTCACAAAAAATATATTAAAAAATATATTAAAACATATAAGATAGCTTCCAGTCCTTCCCTTAACGCGTTTCGCCTGGGTTTGGGCTTTATCAAAAGTAATGTGTCTTTAAACTACAATACATGTGTTTATAAATCAGTCTGTGAAAGTTTAGTTACATAAACTGTTACTGTAAGTCCCCTAAAATTACTTAGAACAGCCCCATGCCACATCCCCACTCACATCCCTAAATTTAAAGGGACACTATAGTCACCAGAACAACTACAGCTTAATGTAGTTGTTCTGGTGAGTATAATAGCTCCCTTCAGGCATTTTCATGTAAACACTGTCTTTTCAGAGAAAAGGCAGTGTTTACATTGAACCTAGAGACACCTCCAAGTGGCCACATTTCTCAGATGGCCACTGGAGGGGCTTCCTAGCTCAGTTCTGCATAGTAAGCAGCCCTGCCGTTCATCGCCCCCACGCTCTGCATAGAGATGCTGAATTTTCCTCATAGAGATGCATTGATTCAATGGGGCTAAGAAGGGGGGAGGCAAGGGGGGCATGCCACCTAAATGGTGGGTGTTCACTATAGGGTCAGGAACACATGTTTGTGTTCCAGACCCTATAGTGATCCTTTAAAATGTCCATCCTTGTCCATTTGAAATATTGGGAGGTATGGCAAAATGTGTTACACTCCCTTATGACTAATTACACTATCTCCTGGTTAGTAAAATCTGTTACATTCCCAAACCTGGATGAACATGTACTTGATGATAGAATGTAGAAAATAACGAAAGTCTAGGTTAAATTAGGTCAAGGTTATTGCCTTGATGGATTTGTTAAATTGTGCTCCCAATTAAAACGCCTCTAGCACAATTTTGAGATGCCAGGTCTGAGTACAGGAGGATTGAAACTAGAAGGCAGCAAGTAGTGATTTTAAAAGTAAGGTACATTATTCGTCACTGAAAATAAACACATATTGAAGGCCATATAATAGTGAAAGATTTAATATAATTCTGAAAAGGCATATTTAGACAAGCTGGATTTTCCAAATAGATCATAAAGAGATCTGACAAAATGTAACTACAAATTAGGCCTTGCCAGCAATAATAATATTCAGTTTTATTTATATATTTTTGTTAGTGGCTCCAATATTTGAGATACGAGATACAATTAATATAATTGACTGAGTAGAACCGCAGAAGCTGTGATTATACTCTGGATCTACAACATAAGTGTTTTGATTTTTTTGTTCATTATTGGTTCTCATTAATTCAGTTTTTGGCATGTTTATTTATGCACCGTCTCCTCAAGTCTAAAGCATAACCCTGATATGGACCTCTTGCAATACCTCTAGCCTACACCCTACCTACTATATCGTAGTGAAGAGGGTTTCTATATAATTTGTTCAGAGGAGTCTGCTGGCAGTTCTATGTTACACTGTTCCTTTGCATGGGATCAGCCTGTAAAGATACAAGTGAGCTAAAATGTGTTTAAGACTAAAGTGGAGACTAATGACAGATGTCCAATCTTAGTGTTGTCAGAACTGTTTTAGCTGGGTGGAACTGCTAGTGAGTGCCACAATTGAAGGCGGCGATAAAACCACGGAGCATAATATTTTTTATCTTGTGTCACGATCTCTTTGCCTACTGTGCTCTTCTTGCTCCTAGATATTTCTACTTACCACGGTAAGAGCACATACAGCTAATCAGGAAGCTCTAACACAGCAGAGAGTAATACAGCAACTCGATGGAAAAGATATGAGCCTATGGTGACACTGTGTTTTTAAGATCTGCGTACTGGCTGTAGCTGAAACTATTAACAAAGGGTACCCATACACTTGTGGCCATGTAGTATAGGAATTCTGTGACGATGTCTCAAATACTCCACTTACTACTAGTAATTACTAGGTGTTTGGTCACACAGATCTGGATGCCTAGGAATTATAAATATCTGGCTGTATCTTTCCAGACTGTTGCAAACTACATTTTGTCTGAAATATAATTTTAGATTTTTTTAATAGGTACAGAGAAATAGCAACACTACAGTGGGTACTGTCTAATCTCAGACTAGTCTGAACATGTAACCTGTTCATTGTTCAATCCTCTAGCAGGTGAATGACTAAATCTGTTTTATCATTGTTTTTACTGTAACCCCTTTTTGCGCAGTCACCGAGACTCACAGAGCAGGACAACACTTGTTTTATCTGTTTTTCTTAACATCGGGGTGTAGGTTCAGGATTAGGATGCAAGCCTTGCACTCATTGTTTAGTGGAAACAGAAAACTCCTAGGCACCAGGAGCTCCTCTATTTGTGATTTAGTAGTGCATCTGAATACATGGTACAGCAGGGCGACTCACATTTAACATGTACAGTCCATTATTCTTCCTGTAAATCTGAGGAGCAGTGGACACCTGCTTGTGAACTGCTCACCCATTACAGTCTGTCCTATGGCTAACACTGGGTGACTAAAGGCAGAAGACCTGAACCTCTTCATGGTCCATTCTCTCAGTCTACAAAAATCATTCCAGCTCTATGCTCCCAGCACACACGTTGGTGTAGCTTCTTCCAAACCATTCATACAAGGTCTTCTAGAACAGGGCACACACCGCATGTACATACTGTAGAAGTGCTAAGTTACATGTATGGGCTGTCATGCAGCTTTCTAGCACGTATGCAAAAAAACCAACAGACATTTACATAGCCTTGCTCAAAATAATGGAATAAAAAGTGGGATTTTGACAAAGAATACATAGATCATCGGTTTGCACAAAAAAAACCCCCACAATGTTACCAAAACCATCAATATTAAATTAACAATCCAAGTATCATAACCACTGCGGCCTATTGTAGTGGGTATGGTGCTGGTGAGTGCCCTGGCTCCATCCTGGTAAGTTTTGTCAACTTACTTTGGTCATGTTGTGCACCATTACCACAGCCAATCTTCTCTAGAAGGAGAAGCCAGATGTCTCTGTAGAGTAGGACATGGTTGATGCTCTCAGCCAATGATCATTATTCTAATTTGCTGTTTAGAGCAGCTAGCTTCATAGAGCACCTGGCTTCAACTGGAGGAGAACAGATGCAGCAGATGCAGGGCATGCAAAAATTGTTTGACATCTTACTGTGAGACTGCGCCAGGGCTTGGAGTGTTCCATTTATTGATATCAAGGGTGGGCAGAAATAGACCTTTAATTGTTATAAAACTAACTTCTATGAAGCTTTGCCAGCTCTAAAGTTCATCAACTGTGAGTCTAACTTTTGCCTACCTGCTTTACATGATATCACAATACTTCATAAAATGATGTCACGGTAAATATACTGTAATAATGAACTGATATTTCTTGGATTAGATGATGGAATGTTTTCATTTATAAGCAGGTTTGTTAAACCATTAATTAGGTTGTCTTGTTATTTCCTGTTCCGCCCAACAGGATATCCTGCAGTTCATCCTGAATCAGAAGGAAGGAGTAAAAAGCCAGGTCTGAAGTTGAACATTTCAAATTATACTACTAAGGACAAAGAAGATGGCAAACAGCCGTGGCCAAGATGGATTACAAAGATTGTACAAAGAAAACTCTTTTAAAGATTTTATTCCAAGCCCATTGTGGGTGGGTTGATACAGTTGTAAAATGATAGAGCATGTTACTATAATATGTCTTGTAAAGCACAAACTATAAACATATGATATAAAATCATCAATATATCCGAAGATCATTCTGTAAAGTCTTTTACGCAACTGCTCGGACCATAGTATGATGGTTTGAAAACAGGGCCTGAAGATTAAAATGTATTTGGACGACACGATAGTTGTCAATAAGAAAGCACAATTTGTGTTTATCTGTATTTTCCAAGGAAGTTTCCAAGTTAAAAAAGTACAAAAAGTAGGATGTGGAACATACATTTGTTTCTTTTGTTTGTTTTTACATTTGAAATGTATTTTATTTTTCTGCAATAGCACAGGTTTGCATTCAGGAAACTTTCACAGATAAGCACTTAAAAGGTAGGCGCAGTCCAAGAAAAATAAGATCAAGTGGTACCCAAGACAAGACGTAATCTGGGCAAAGCATCCATAAGTGCCAAGTGACATATTTACTTTGGTATATGTACTCCTCCTCTAACCTAAACTTGGGAAAAGTATAGCTCGCAGAGAGGGCAGCTGATTAAGCACAGATAGATTAAAAATAATTAGGGTAGCAACAAAGCATACCTGGGAACATTAATCAATTAGTTGTCATAAAGCCTACCCCTTCCTTTTCAGTGCAAAAAGATGGCAAAGAGTAAGAAGTATGGAAATATGAAATTGGAAGAAAGATAGTTGCAATATGCCACTTCATGAAATCAGCTAGGAAGTGGTGGGCCTTGTGAAATGTACATCCCAGAAGTAGAACAGAGCTATGTTCCAGAGGTTTATCAATCATTTTTTATACCAAAAATTTCCAGCACAAATCAGTGCACACCCAGGTATAATTAGTGGAAAGGTACCATACACCCTATTGTGAAGACACACACAGGTTACCTTCATAACTGCCTAATTCACAGATTGGACTGATTAAAAGTATGAAAAATGCACCATGTTTAATAATATACAGTCTCTTGCTATGAGAAAAGTGATTAGCGTAACTGATGACTGCTATTTTTTTATACAACTCCTAAATTACAGTAGTGCACTTTACCAACTTTTTTCAGAAAATCTTTAGTTAAGTTTTAAGAGATCTCGAATTGTATGTATTTTTAAAAACTATATAATGAATACCGCACTCTAATAGTAATAATTGAGTGCGGTATTCATTATATAGTTTTTAGGATTGTTATTTGGAGGTTGTCTTTGGGGTTAACCTCGAATACCGGCACCTAGATGTAATTGAGTGCCAGCACACGTTGTAATTTTTTGTATGTATTTTTATATCACTTTTTTTTAATTCTAATTTTGTTAGAAGAACATTTTGCCAACGTGATTTTTATCATCAAGTGAAATAGTAAAATAGTGAATTGGTTGATATAACGGATAGTGTCACAGTTAAATTACCTTATTTACCTAGCATATGCAGTAGGACATTGATTTTGTTTCTTACATTTCTACTTTAATAACAAACCATATTCAGTACCAGATCATAGATAAAACAAAATCATATTGACAACCAATAACAACATAAAATACATGGGTTCCCACCATCTACATGTCCTTCAACACTTTTATACCAATGGTTCACTGCAATGAACAGTGCTATGAAGTCCCATTTACAGATAAAAGTTAAATAACAAAGAAGTCCAAAATTAGGCCAGAAGTAACGAAATTGGCAAAAATAGTATAAGCATAAACGTTGGCTAGTTATTGATCTTTTGACTAGTCGACATGTAGGACAATGTGGAATGCCAACTGTTGCTAGACTACAGCCAAAGTCAACCTTATCCACCATTGTGCTGTTAGCTATTGCATTTTCCTGCTTTCACATGAATTTAGCTGGAAAACGCAGAAGAAGAGACAAACAATGACACTCCTATGTATTATTACAGCACGAGCATCTGTTATGTCAAAGTTTGAATAGAATGCAGGCACACTCAGAGCAAGCAAGGCCCTAGAGAAACAAAGACATGTCATAACGGCATATAAACCTGTCAGATATAAAATGTTTTTATCTTCTTCAAACTTGTTGAGTCCTTGGCAACCCCGTGGGCTTGCCATCATAAGCAAAATGCTGTTGGTGTCCATTTTGTTTATTTAGTTTTCCAGGAAACAAATGAAAGAAAAGAGTTTTTCTTTTGCCCCGTTTTCAACTCACTTCAAAACGAGAGCTCTAAGAGCTGAGCCACATATTTTTTTAAAGTCATGGTAGCAGGCCATATCATACATCATGTAACTTGATAGTGTCTATGGTGTTCTGAAATTGCATGTCAAAGTACCGTCCTTGTGAGCCATGTCTAGTTGAATAGCTCTTCTCCAGATTATACCTTACAGCAGCTGTGCCATAAATCAGGAGAAAACATTTAAGGAGATGAAGTTAAGAACAGATCTCAGTAGAGTCTTATTTAGCACCCAGTGCCAAGTATATCTGTCTATACTAGCTGTAAAACATATTTTACAGAACTGCTCTATGACTTTTTTACGTGTTATTGATTTACTATGCCTTGAATAACATTTAACTAAAATAAGAACTACATTTTACACTATTCATTTTTGCATGGGGGGTGGAAACTGGTTGTTAGTGTCTTTGTCGGAACTTGTCCTCCCCTACCACCTCTGGATAGTTTGTTAAACCCTTGTAATTAAGCTAATAAGTGTGTGGACTTGAAATATATGCCACTATATACTCTCCCTTCATCCATGCCTCTATCCATTTACTAAGAATATAGCCTGTAAGTCCTTACTAAAGGTAGGTGAAATGTTTTCATGATTGGAGTCCACTTATTACACTCATATTTACATTTTGCTTTGCTCAGTGTGCCTAGAGTGGTACCAAACCACATCTCACTGAAGAGACCTAGAGGAGACACACTGGGCAATGAGTGCTTACCTGGTTTTGTTTTCTGTGGAATGTCTATTCTATTCATTGACAGATTGTCCTGTTTACTAACACTCATTTGAAATGCTTTCACATGGTTAACATTCCATACACAGCAAGCTATTAGCTGATGTGTGTCTGTGCTTGAGAATTTCTTACATTTTGTTATGCTAGTACATGTATAAAATCACATGACTTAATAAGAAAGGTCACAAACTGCAAATCTTGTTCAATAAACATGAACTGCAATGGTTTTCCTGTGACATTTTCATATGCAGTATAGTGTCACCATGACATCAGTCTTTTAAAGGGAAATCTACAGTAAAGGTGAAATTTTAGTATATAGGACCGGTCTAGGCTAATCAAGCTTCAGTCTTGAAATAGTTATGGGCAGGACCAGATTTCATGTTAAATAATGTAGGCATATGCATTTTAAATTAGAGCGCACGTGTCTACAAGTAGCGACATGTATTTTGTGACTCTTAGCTGTAAAATCTGCAATTCTGTGTACTGCCCAGAAAACCAATATGTTCAAGATTATAATTTTTTTTGGTTAGCGGATAGTATTTGTCAGTTATTCTCGTCTCTTGTAACAAAAACACTATGTAGAACGTGATTTACCAGCTTAAATGCCTCTTAAATTTCAGTTAAAACAAGGGTAACATCTAACTCTAGGCACTGGGCACCATAGTAGTTGTAGACTATGTTTTCATGTTGGTTGGAAAAGCTCTGCAGCAACAAGAGTCCACAACACATGGAATGCCAATGACTGGCCATCACTGTTCTACGGGTATAGGATATCCATGTCATCACTGCTTTAGGAATATAGAATACATGAGTGATCATCAGTCACTTAGGTTATCTGGTTGGGCACTATGTGTGCTCAGATGTTATAGTATCTGCATTGAGCATGGCTTATATTGGAGCTTCTACTGAACCACCCATGCACATTTTGGGGAAATGTTATTTGAAAAACTATAACATCACACTATTTATATATATTTCTTTTACTAGATATGTTTCTGAGGCATAAACCTTGGTGCTACCATACTTAGAAAGGAAGCTAGCTGAAGGCATGTTTTGGACAAGAATAATTTTTAAATGACAGTATCCTGCTCAGTGTATTTTGCGTTTCATGACATGGAAACTACTGATACTACTGATATAGCAAAACAACTTTGGTATAGTACTAGTTTTTGACAGTTTAAATAAATACTCGACCTTCAATGATCTAAGCTGGGGTCAAGACACATTGTTGCTCAGGGTTATCTTACCAAGTTATCATCATCAACATCAACTGGTGCAGATATGACAAGGGACATTTAGGACAAGACAGTCGACCCGGAAGCATGGTTATAGTGTTATAGTGTTATAAAATAGATCTCATGGTTCTATTTAAAATATCAATAAAACCGATTAGATTAAGAATTATTCAAGGCCATTTTTCTTGCACCCTCCTGCCAAAGCTAGACAAATACTTCTGTATGTTCTATATTGCCTCCAAGGTTTACACATATGGAATTTCAAACGTCATGATGCAGGTAAAAAAGCATGCGCATGGTGTACATTTCTTGCACTGTACTGTGGGAACTCTTTTAATCTAATGATCTATCAGAATATCTGAACACTGAAATGTTGGAAGTATTGTACTTAGAGGGGATGTTTCTATTAAAGAATGCATTTTGGTTTTATAGCGACACAATGTAAAGGTGATTCTGTGACATTGAAAATAAAGATTTTATACATGCTGCGCTATGTCTGTAAATATGTTATTGGACATTGGAATAAACACGATGTCAAACTTTTTACACAAATATAACTTTCACAGCCACTGTGCTAGAAAATAAGAAATCGTTTTGCCCAAGCTTCCCAACCTAGGGTATGGATAACATACCCTAAACATATGAGAGATTTCTCAAGATATTCAGTAATGCAATTTAATCCCTGCTTGGTTTGTTAATGACAGTGACACATATTTTAGTAATTTGTCTCCTGAGCCAATCAGAAATAAGAGACAGGGTACCGGTTGAAATGTGTTATTGATGGAGAGGATACCAGAACCAGCATAATGGGCTTCAAAGTTGGTATATAAAAATGTGAAAATAACTAGAAATTGTATATAACAATTGTATATTGTATACAACAATAAAACTGATCTGAGCTATTAGAGATTGTAAAGAATTTTAAGTGTAAGAAAAGATGTAATTGCCATAGTAAAAGTGTGGGGGCTGATGTAAACGCACAGTCAGCACCACCTGTGCATCCAACCAAAAGCGTCTCATAGGATAGCATTGAATTCGATACTTTGCTATAAGCTGCATTTGGTCACATGACTTCCTCTTTTGTTGCAGAGAAAGCGGCTCTAGTGGCTGTCAAGAAGATAGCCAGTAGAGGTGTTTAGCCTTGCAATGTAAAATTGCAGTTATTACAACAGGGGTGCCCAAAAGGTAGATCCCCTGATGTTTTAAAACTACAGATGCTCTGCATGCCTTTAGGATACCTTTTGTCATTTGGCAAGCAAAGCATCATGGGAGTTGTAGTTTTCCAACATCTGGGGATCTACCTTTGGGGCATTCCTGTTCTACAAGTTTTACGTTCCAGGGTTAAAACTACAGGGACACCGCACCAAGACCGCTTCAATGACATGCATTGAGCAGTCCTTTAACCCCTTAAGGACACATGACATGTGTGACATGTCACGATTCCCTTTTATTCCAGACTGGTATTTACCTTTTGATTCCTGTTTGGCCCAGAACTCTTGGACTTTCTTATTTATGTATTTTTCCACCCGTAATTCTTTTTGCCATTGGCGTAATTCTTGGACTTCAGGATCACAGCGTACCTGGAGATAAACAAAACAATGAGTTTGCCAAATATGTCTTGTTCAACATTACAGGGAGATCTGTGAAAGTGCTCTAAAAAAGATTTTATTATTTTTAGTGTCTAATCTGTTCGTATATATATATATATATATATATATATATATATATATATAAAATGGTTCTAAAATTGTCTAAAAAGTATTGGCTTTTCTCGTGCCAAAATTACACAATTTTTCGCAGAAATATACATTTCAGAAAAGACTGTCAAATATTGAGCGGTGGAAAAAATGGAAGTGAAACAGAACACTTATTAAACGAAATAAAACTACAGAAAGATTAATAAATCAGTTGCGTTTCTAAAAACATGGAGCACATTCAAGAACGATTAGGTCGCAAACGAAGCAAAAGACAAATAAAAAACTGATTTAATGAGTTGCATTTAAAAAAAGACCGTAAAGAAGCAAAACTGTCTGTGACGATTTGATATATCTCCCCCAATGTATATAACATTAACTTAACAAACAAATGTTAAGGTCTCAGCTTAAATTTGTTCAACTAAAGGGACAATCCAGTTAAAATAAATGTGCGCTTAACTGATTTTTACCCATCATTCTTAAAACAAGGGTGGTAATCTAAAGAGTTTAAAGAACACGCAAGTTAAAAAAAAACAAAAAAAACAACATAGTGTTTAATCAGAGTGTTCCTTTAAGTCCCAAATAGAATGGGTTCTAAAGGTTTACAGACTTGCAGAACACATGATTTTTCCTAATTGCCTGTGGCATTTTTGTCGAAAAAAAAAAGCAACAAATATTTGTATTAAATTAGGTAAATTAGCTGTGATATGGGAACGTTCACACTGCTGTCATATGAAAGAAAGGGAACCAGTCAGGCAGAAAAAAAGAATTATGCAGATTCTGAAGAAATGTGAGTTTACCATTATTGGATGTCACATGCATTCAAACTAGTGGCTGAGTACTTCAAGGGGACAAGAATGACAGCGGCAGAGGTAGTGCAACCAGATCCGTGGGCAATGGAGAAAGGCATCATGACGTGATGATTTGTATTGCTTGTTGAAGTTGTCAATATAACAAAAAAATAAATACAACTGATAACAATTGCAAAAGAACAATAACTGTATAATGTAGCGGCCATTCCCTCGCCCCCTCCCCCCCATCCTTCCCGATCTATGTAATTCTTTTATTTTTGTAGTATCATAAAAATGCCATAGTTACTACAGTAATAATTGTTGGGAATTCAAAGTGAATTACAAATTTAAGGCCGAAAATAGTCGAACTGGAAGAATCTCTGACATAAAGTATTTCTCCAGTTTCCCAACAAATGCTCACTTTAGTGTTAGCAATCTGTCAATGTTTTTTGAATTTTGGATTTTTATAGACTGGCAGCCAGTAGAGCGTTTGTTGGGTTTTGTATTTCTTGCTTTTCATTTTTTTTTTTTATTATTCTTTATTTTTGTTGTTCATGGTAACAATATACAGGTTCACTTTGCCCCAACAGCATTCGTGAACTGTGAGTAAACTGAGTTTATCATAGTACAAGGCAAGTATGAGATACTGCACATTTTTAGATTGATTGTCAAACAAAACAAGGTCTTCGTCACGAACGTCGTGTGGTATGCTGCGTGTATAGGCAGTGATGTCTTGAGGTTCTGACTGCTATATAGCAGGCTTCTCCATGATTAGGAAATAGTGTAAACAAAGGAGGTTGGCATAGTCGTATTTATTAGTGCGGTTGTCATCCGCCATATGTATGGGCGCGCATGTGGGTACCATGTGAGTGAATCTTACAGTGTGGCCAAATTCAACTAAGGAGATGTGCATATATCCCTATCCTCTGGGGTAAGGGGGGATTGTCAGATTGTCAGTATTTCTAGGCGGATGTCCCCACCCAAGTTGTGTAGGTGTGTTGAGTTATAGCGGGGGATTTAGATGCATCCGTCAGAGGTATGATATGGAATGCGTAAGGAGCAGGTAGTCAGTGTTGGAACAGTTAAAGAGCTACATTTGCTATGGTCATTTGTATTAAACTGAAATGTAATACACATAAAGCTTATAAAACTTATAAAACATATAAAGCAGGCCAACTGGGTTAATAGGGCTACTGATCAGGCTTTCACGTCACAGAGTTCACCACTCCCCCAGGGATGAATGGTGCGATTCGGGAGACATCCCAGGCATGGCTGGGGGGGCTGAGATGGCTGTGGTTCGAAAAGGCCCAAAGCCTGTAGGATGTTTAGGCCCTCTGGCGGTTTTGTTGCTTTGTAAGTCTTGCCGTCTGTAGTGACCATAAGGGACCTAGAGTATGTCTAACAATAGGTTATTCCTGCCTCCTGCAGTGCCTGGGTGGTAGGGCGCATGGATTTTTTACCATAGCAAGGTGGCTATGCGCAGGTCCTGGAAGAAGGTGAGGGAATGGTTCTCATATTGGAGTGTATTTTTTCCCTTAAGAGCATGTAGGAGCCTCTGTTTGTTAGCGAAGGTCTGGCAGCATAGGATGATGTCCCATGGAACGTTCGTTGGTGCGCGAGATGTTGTGGAGATGCGGTAATGCAGTCGTATGCAAACTGTTTACAGATTTTTGCAGGTAGGACAGTGGATAGGAGCCTCATGAGGAAGTGAGGTAGCTCATCAATGGAAACAGAGTCTGGTACAATGTGGATTTTAATATTTCTTGGTTGCCCCTTGTCCTTCAAGACATCCATTCTAATAGCAAGCTGTGAGTGTATTTCTTGCAGGTGCTGCATGGTTTTACCTTGTGTGGTCATGCCCTGCTTCACATCTAAGATGTCTTCTTTGGCTGCCTGGAGTCTATCTGCCTGGAGGTGTGCCAAAAGTTCATGAATGTCCTGTTTAGGTACCGGTGCTTCGATTTTGGGTAAGTCTGGGGTTGCTACCGTAGTAGTTTCCTCCATGGGAGGGTGTCGTGCTGGTTCAGGCCACGTGGGTGTAATCCCTCTGGCTCTGGAAGTGGAGGCCAGCATCTGGCCGTTGGCTTGATTGCTGCCAGTCTGAGCTGGAGTCGTTCTCTGTGATTTGCGTCCCATATTTGTACCAAGCCGGGCTTGAAGGATATCCAAGGGAGACGAGGCCTGGTCAAAACCGTCGCTCATCCAGAGATCGGCACTGGATAGGCGTGGAAGTCCCACGCAGTAGGCCCGAAGTCCCCTAGCTCCGCCCCCGGGTTTTGTATTTCTAATTATTAGGGAAAGTATTTGACAAATTAATGCTCAAAGAATACACTTTTTTCCAGCTTTTATTCAAGTTAAGATTTGACGATAAGTGAGTAACCCAAGTAAATAGCTGACTGCTCATATAAACCAATTTGAAAATCTCGTAAGCCATTGTATTGAAAAGACAGTAAAACAATTTATTTCTAAAAAATGATGGCATCTGTTAAAAAAAATTGCCAAATTACAAACACTAATGTGTTTTCCAGACAGCATAGTGAAAAAGAGCAAGTGTATTTTGCAGCCTTGTTTATGTATAGCAAAAACACATTTCAAAGTGCCATGTACTGTAAAAAGAAAATGTATGATCTAGTTTGACAGATAGGCATAGCCTTATGCTATATAGTTGGTCTAGAGAAGTAGGCCTTATAGTAATATATAATATGTATAGATACACATTGCCAAGTATGAGTTGAGGATGGGGTGTGCAACGTTCATAATTGGCAGGCCTGCAAGGAAAAGATGCATATCCGCCCACTGAAGGAGCATGTCAGCCTGGAGTCAGGCATGCCAGGCTCACAGACAGCCTGCTGCCAACCCCCTTCATATAGGACGAATCAGAGAGAGCTGCTGAAGCACTTTCTGCATCATCTTAAAGCTTGTTCACAGTGCAAGCTATTCTAATGCTGCCTGAGAGAACTAAATGGGGATTGCGGGACAGGACCCCGAAATCAGGACTGTCCTGACAAAATCATTTGATTTGGAGCTTTCGTTGACCGGTGACTTGCATGATAATTTGAGTGTGCTTCAAAAATATCTTCCTTTTTTAACTTAAATAGATTTCCAGACCTCCATATAAATAACTTTTTTTATTCAATGGAAGTTTGCAGTGAGCTACGAGCAGCAATAACGAAAAATTATTATTAAAAAAAATTACACTGAAAATGTTAAAGATGTATATGTATATACAGTAAATTAACAGTAAATAATTAAAAAAGAATCAGGGGATTCCATAGCCAAAAGCTATGATGTCAGGAGTTGCAGTAAGCAATACTCTATCTACTAAGTTAGGGTTTATTTATAGGATACGCTACGCACCAAAACAACTTTAGCTTAATGTACCATTCATCGTGTATAGATCCGTGTCCCTGGTGTTCCTGCAGAACAGCCATTGTTTAAATTGCAGGGTTAGACAGGCAGGGACCTGGCACCTAGATGAATTCCTTTAAATTAAGTGGTATGGGTTAAAGTTCATATAGTTAAAGTTGTTATGGAGCTTAAACTGACCCTTAAATGTAGCTACAATATGGTTTAGTCGCTTTTCAAATTTAATTCACTGCCTGTCTTCCTCCATAATGAGTTCTGAATTTAGGGCACAAATAGCCAAAATGGAAAAAGTCTCCCAGTCAGCTATGCTTGCAGATTGGCTATTTGATCCTAAAATTTGAAATTCACTTTGACATCAATTTGAAGTCTCACATTACTGAATAACCCTGATAGTTGATTAGTCTCAAGCAGACCATATTATTACATAACACATATAGACTCATGCAATACACAGTGTGCTTCTTTGTGATGGGGAAACAAACATTGCGTATTTAAATGGAGACAGTTGCTATGTGAAGTCAGCTGACCAAAGTATTATTATGTCGCACCATGAATATATTAATCCCATGTAGACAGTGACACACGGTTTGTGGAATCCTGCACACAAAATGCCTCTCTGTAGCATCCAATAGCAGTTTGATGCCTGCAGGGCAGTCGGATGAGGTGGCATCAGAGAAATGTGAAGACATTTACAGTGGCATTCGAGTCATGCTCACCTGTTTCAGGAACAGTACAGCAAAGAAATTGCAGTACTCTGTTACATTATTAACTATATAGCTGACATTCAATTGTAGCAAACACAAAGTCTCGGTTAAACACAAAGAAACGGTTAGGGCAATAAGAAACGATCATTAAAAAAACAAAATACAACTATGTTTAAATCTGCCTTTATTCAGTGTTTAATGATTTGTTCAAAAAATATGCCTTTGTTGGACCTTGGAGTGCCTAAACCTTTCTTTGATTTCTGCATATAACTAGATCTTTGTGATATATCTTAACTAGAATTAACTGGGAGTGAGGCTTCCATAGACTTATTGCAGCGGCGGAACTACAGGGGTCGCTGAGGTAGCGAGTGTAACTGGGCCCCCTGTGTTGCGACTATAGGGGGAATCCATGAGATGACCGACCGTCCACTTTAGGAGGCGACAGGCTGTTCGCTAAGGCAGAGTAGGCACCTGCTTACCTGAATGGCAGGTGCCTATACAGTGTGTCCTGGAGAGTGCTGAGCATGGGCGGCGAGGGATTGCTTACGCTCCTGCTCTTTCTCACTGCTCCCTACGCGCACACTCTGCGGTGAGGCTGGGTGCCGGAATACGACATCACTCCGGCCCTGGCGTCACTAAACGGTGTGTGAGGTAGCAGTGAGGAAGAAGAAGAAGATTAAAGCAGCCCAACACTAGGGAGAGAACCCCCTGGACCTCAAGGAGAGGACCCACACCACTGACCCAAAGGTGGGAAGGCTGGGTGGGCCTAAAAAAAAAAAAAAAAAAGTATTAATAAATAAAATTTGTGAGTGTGTGTGAGAGAATGTGTATGTGTGAGTGTGTCAGTGAGGTTGTCATTGAAAGTGTGTGTCTGTCAGTGAGTTTGTCATTGATCTGTTTCAGAGAAGTATATGTAGACTCAGAAAGCACAGAACAAAAAGATTGTAAACATTATATATTTACTAATTATATAACTTTTCAGTGGATACGTACACCATCTGTTTTGGTATTTCTATCTTCTGGGAGAATATTAAATTTTTGGTAAACGTAAGAAACAGAATCTGCTGTATTGTATACAACTTGGTTATTTAAGTCTTTTAATTCACCAAAATCCACTGTTTAGCAAATAAATTCCAAAGCAAAACTCTATGATGCATGCTGAGCAGCGTTATATAATGCCGGCTGACATGAATTACTCAGTGACCTGACAATATTTCATTACCAATGCTCTGCTAGACAGACTACGCAACATACAGAACTAAGTGTAATACCCCTGAGAGGAAATAGATTTGCATGTTGCAGACAGTTGCTAATTATATAACTTTTTACTGATTTCTGCCCTCATTTCTTAATGTACCCAAGAGCCCCACTTGAATTATTTAAAACAGTCTCATGGTGAGAAAAAAAAATATCATTAGAAATCTAAATTTCTCTGAAAATGGGATGACGGCTGTAAGGAAAAGTTAGATTTTTAATTAATGAATAAACTGCCTTCAAGAAAGCAATTACTTTTGTACCATTTAAACTAATGTAAGGGTTGTCTGGCGCCTTTTAGCTCATCAGGCATGGATCTAATCATACAGAGAAGAGATATGATCACCAGTGCAGATTGTCTATTGGTCTTTATCAACAAATCGCCATCTATCTGGCTCTGAAACGAGTGCTTAACTGGAATTCATCTAAAAGGAACACTCCAAGCACCATAACCACTTCAAACCCGCTGCTAGAAGTGCTCTGGCACCATCCCACGATAAGACGGTAAACAGTTTTAGCAAGGTTGTCAACCTTTCTCTCATATTTCCGTGATCTCCTAAAGACACACCTCTTCAACCAAACCTTCCTCAATATCTCATAACCATATCCCTGATTGGTTTCTCCAAGTTCAGCTCACCTTATTCTAATATTCTTCTCCCATGTTTCTGTGCTTCAGACTAGTTTAACCTTCATTCTGGCTTCCACCTCTCCCCCTCAAGATGCAAATACAGCTATTAAAATTGAAGATTTACCAAGCTAGGTAATGCCTACTACACATCTGGTAATCTCTTATCTCCACTGGACACTCTTCCCCTCACCTCCACCTTGCTTCATCATGTAGTGTAGGTCATACTGAGAGGTCTCAAGAGCAGCACATTAAACAGCTGTTAGATTTTGCATGTCATGAGTCGGAATGAGACTTGTGCAGAGACTACTGCTATGTGTGGGTGGTGTTATGTCACTAAACTCCTTTTTTTGCTTTTGCAACAAAAAATTATACTCCGGGTTGGATTAAGAGCCAATTGGGTCTGGTGCTGGCAATTTGGTCCTAGTTACAGAACCTTTCGACAGCAAACACTAAAACAGTAATATCTCCAAAGCGTCATATATCTGATGGAGGTGGTGCTAGAAGAAAACTCACAGGATATATCTATAAGAAAACACATACCCTATGCTAATCTCTCGTTTTCACCTCTTAAGCAAATCTATACCCCCTGACAGGAGCAAGTCATTGGTGGGAGTCGTAAAAAGATGGGCCACTGACACGAATCACGTAACCGTCACTGCTGAAAGGGCCAGACATTCCCAGAAAGAAGGGGGGGGGTCAGCTTGAAGAACTGGAAGGTCAGCGGCTGCCCCCAAATCATGCAGGCTGGCCAACTAAGGGAATACTATGCAGACAGTGCCCTGAGCTTGGTGGAAATGCATCTAATGATGCGCTTGCTCTATGCTTTCTTAGGACTGTCCCCAAGCATTCGATTGCTCTTCTTACCAGCAGGCAGAAGCTCCTGTTATGCTTCTGGGACAGAAAAAAAAAAATAGATTTAGTGAATTTAGAAGAAAGGGGGCATGTGTCAGGGTACCTTTGGTGTCTACCTCGGAGGAGGTTAGACACCTAGACGTCCATCCTCCCAGGGGGGCTGACTCACCCGATCCTTGCACTCCTCCCGGTCGTTTACACGCCGGCCGCGATAGATCCGCCTCCTTTTATGACTGGCTCGGTAGCCCGGCGTCATGGCGGCACTATCGCGTTCCCGACCCCGTCAATCCGCGGCAACCAAAGTGCCGAACAACCAATCAGGACCCGTTAGGCCAGACCAACAGTTAAAGAGCCAAAGGTATAAAAAGGGTTCTGTGGAATGATTCATTGCCCTGTCGTGGTTCTAGCTAGTCTGGTCACTCAGTGCACTTACCTCTATTGTCTTTTGGTTCCTGACTCGGCTTGTATTTTTGACCCTGCTTTCCTCTCTTGTCCTTTTGACTCGGCTTGTCTCTCGCTTACCTGATCTCTCGTTCCCTCGACCTCGGCTTGTCTCTGACTATTCTTTTTGCTTTCTCCTTACGTTAGTCCGGCCATTCTAAGGTCCGGTATACGTACCTATCCCCTGTTTGTATTCTGCGTGTTGGATCCCTGTCACGATCCTGACATTACGACAGGGCCAATGGATCCTGCAGGTACAAACTCTCAGGTCGGTTCTCCTGACTCTAGATTTGAGGCCATGGATCATAGAATGGACCAGATGGCTCTATCTCTGCAAGCATTGCTATCTCGTCCTAGTAGTCACTCAGAGGAGATGCGTACCCCATCTATCTCTCCTATAAGTACAGGCCTAGAGGTAGCCACAGTGGCTACTTCTTCCCGTGTTACGTCCCCGTCACGCTATGGCGGCGCTCCTGACACTTGTCGAGGTTTTTTAAACCAGATAGGTATTCATTTTGAATTACAACCCCACGCCTACCCTACTGACAGGGCAAGGGTTGGATTTATAATTACCTTGCTCATTGACAAGGCACTTAGATGGGCTAACCCCCTGTGGGAAAATGATAACCCGTTAGTTTATAATTATAATGCTTTTGTCGCTGCATTTAGGAGAGCTTTTGACCCTCCAGGAAGAAAGGCCAATGCAGCTAGACTACTGTTACGTCTTAGACAGTATAACCGAACCCTAGTGGATTATGCTTTGGAGTTCAGATCCTTGGCGGCAGAGGTCAAGTGGAATGAACAGGCTTATATGGACGTATTTATGAACGGGTTATCTGATGAGATTTTAGATGAGGTGGCCACAAGAGATCTTCCTGAAAATTTGGAGGATCTGATTTCATTTATTTCCCGAATAGATGAACGTATGAGACAGAGGCAGAATATTCGGGATAGAACCCGCAGTTCCTCCATAAGACTAGCTCCCTCATTTCAGACTTCTGATTCTACTACTTTAGCTCTCCCAGAACCTATGCAAATAGGTCATACTCGACTCTCAGAGGAGGAAAGACAGTACAGGAGAAGGGAGGGTCTTTGTATGTATTGCGGAATTAGAGGTCACCTACGCCTAAATTGCCCTAACCGGCCGGGAAACGCTCGCACCTAAGTTTCTCAAGAGGACAGGCCTTGGGTGTTTCTATCTTGTCCTCTATTTATGATTACAAAGATCATAGGCTTCTGATACCTGTTTCTTTAGCTTGGGAAAAGGGAGTACTTAATGCTATGGCTTTGATAGATTCCGGAGCAGCTGAAAGCTTTATTGACCAAGCCTTTGTCACTAACCATTCTATCCCATCTCAGCTAAGGGATACACCCTTGGCCGTTGAGGCCATAGATGGTAGACCATTATCTGAACCTGTGATTTTTCGTGAAACCATACCAATTAAGTTAACCACTGGTATCCTTCACGAGGAAAGAATATCCCTCATGCTGATCTCATCTCCTTCAGTTCCTATAGTCTTGGGGTATCCCTGGCTTAAGAAGCATAACCCTATCATTGACTGGGAACTGGGTGAGATAGTCTCCTGGGGTCAGGGTTGCCAGAAAGGATGTGTGCAGAAAGTCTCACCAATTTGCAGGGTTGACGCCCCGGTTAGCTCTTCCCAACCTACAGATTTACTGATACCATCACAGTACCAGGATTTAAAGGCAGTCTTTGACAAAAAGAGGGCTGATACTTTACCTCCACATAGGTCTTTCGACTGTAAAATTAGACTCCTACCTGGTACTATGCCTCCGAGGGGTACGGTATATCCTTTATCCACTAAGGAAAACTTAGTCCTAGAGGAGTACATACGTGAAAACCTAGACAAAGGTTTTATTAGGAGATCATCTTCTCCGGCCGGGGCCGGTTTCTTTTTTGTAGATAAAAAAGACGGCACTCTACGGCCTTGCATTGATTATCGGGGCTTGAATAAGATAACTGTTAGAAATGCTTATCCTATTCCTTTAATTACTGAGCTCTTTGATCGACTGAAAGGCTCCAAGATTTTTACCAAGTTAGATTTGAGGGGAGCTTATAACTTGGTGAGAATTCAGCAGGGAGACGAATGGAAAACAGCTTTCAATACCCGTTATGGCCACTATGAATACACGGTAATGCCCTTCGGGCTTTGCAATGCACCTGCAGTATTCCAGGACCTTATTAATGAGGTTCTTAGGGAATTTCAGCATGAATGCGTTATAGTATATTTGGATGATATACTAATACACTCTAGAGAGATTGAGACTCACCACAGACAAGTCAGAAGGGTACTGCGCAAACTGTTACAACATGGATTGTACTGCAAATTGGAAAAGTGTAGCTTCGACCAATCTCAGATAAACTTTCTTGGCTACGTTATTTCTGGAGGCGGATTTAGGATGGACCCCATTAAACTCCAATCGATTTTAGATTGGCCATTGCCCAGGGGACTCAAGGCCATTCAGAGATTTATCGGATTTTCCAATTATTATAGGCGCTTCATTAAAGGTTACTCTTCTATTATTGCTCCTATTACTAATATGACTAGACAGGGGGCTGATACCAAGACTTGGTCCACAGAGGCTCTCTCTGCTTTCAAAACTCTCAAGGAACATTTTGCCTCAGCACCGATATTAGTTCATCCTGACACATCTTTGCCTTTTTTACTCGAGGTTGACGCCTCGGAGACAGGTATAGGCGCTATCTTGTCCCAAAGGCTAGGTTTGGATAAACCGTTACATCCTTGTGGTTTTTTTTCCAAGAAATTATCTGGGCCTGAAAGTAGATATGACATTGGTGATAGGGAACTGTTAGCGGTCATTATGGCTTTAAAGGAATGGAGACATTTGTTGGAGGGGACATTATACCCGGTTACTATTTTGACTGATCACAAGAATTTGTCCTACATAGGGGAGGCCAAGCGCTTGTCCGCCAGGCAAGCTCGTTGGTCCTTGTTTCTGACACATTTCAATTACGTGCTCACTTATAGACCTGGTTCTAAGAACTCTAAGGCAGATGCATTGTCCCGTCAACATGAACCCTCTACGGTGTCTGAAGCACCTTTGTCTTCTATCGTTCCTAAGTGTAATATTATTGCCAACACTTGTGTCAGGATACACTCGCCGTTGCTTGCTGAGATCAAGAAAGTACAACATCTAGCTCCCAAACCTGTTCCTGGGGATCGATACTTCGTTCCTCCTGAGCTCCAAGTGGAACTGCTGCATTGCTTTCATGACAGTAAAATTGCTGGGCACCCCGGCACACGCAAAACGTGTTCCTTGATTTCTAAAGATTTCTGGTGGCCTTCCCTTCGTAAGGATATAAGGGATTTCGTCAGGGCATGTGCTGTCTGTATGAAGACTAAGCAACCTCACGCGCTCCCTTGTGGACTTTTGCATCCCTTAGAAATTCCCGAGAGACCATGGTCGTGTTTGGCTATGGATTTCATTGTCGATTTGCCTGTTTCTAAAAAACATACTGTTATTCTCACGGTGATTGACAGGTTTACTAAAATGGCTCATTTCGTGCCCTTGCCTAAACTGCCCTCGTCTCCCGAATTAGCTGAGATATTCGCGAGGGAGATTTTTCGTCTACATGGTATTCCCTCTGAAATTGTTTCTGATAGAGGTTCCCAATTTGTTTCCCGCTTTTGGAAGTCTTTCTGTTCTCACTTAGGCATCAAGTTGAACTTCTCCTCTGCCTATCATCCCCAGTCCAACGGAGCTGCCGAACGCACCAACCAAAAGATTGAACAATATTTGCGTTGTTTTGTTTCTGAACACCAGGACGATTGGGTTGGTCTGATTCCTTGGGCAGAGTTTGCACACAACAATCTCGTTTGTGATTCTACTCGTTCTAGCCCCTTTTTCTTGAATTATGGCTTTCATCCTTCCATTCTTCCGTCGGTTTCCCCTTCCCAAGGGGTTCCGTCGGTTGATGTTCATGTCGCCAATCTGAGAAAGTTGTGGGATCAGACTCGACGAATTCTTCTTCAGAATTCCTTGGTGTTCAAACGACACGCTGACAAACGGAGACGGGTGGCTCCGGTTTTTGCCCCGGGTGATAGGGTGTGGTTGAGTACCAGAAACATCCGCTTGAAGGTTCCTTCCATGAAATTTGCCCCTCGTTACATAGGCCCTTACAAGGTTCTGTGTCGGATTAACCCGGTTGCATATCGTCTTGCCCTTCCGCCTGCCCTGCGCATCCCTAACTCTTTTCATGTTTCTTTATTGAAGCCTTTGGTTTGCAACAGATTTTCCTCCCCTGAGTCCTCCCCTCTCGCTGTCCAGGTTGAGGGTCAGGAGGAATATGAAATCAAATCCATTCTCGATTCTCGTATTTCTCGGGGGAAGTTGCAATATCTTGTTGACTGGAAGGGGTATGGGCCTGAAGAAAGGTCTTGGGTGGTCCATGAAAATGTGCATGCCCCTCGTCTCCTCCGGGCATTTCATGCTCGTTTTCCGTCCCGCCCCGGTTCCTTCCGCCCGGTGGGCGTTTCTGAGAGGGGGGGTACTGTCAGGGTACCTTTGGTGTCTACCTCGGAGGAGGTTAGACACCTAGACGTCCATCCTCCCAGGGGGGCTGACTCACCCGATCCTTGCACTCCTCCCGGTCGTTTACACGCCGGCCGCGATAGCTCCGCCTCCTTTTATGACGCGGCGCTCAGTAGCCGACGTCATGACGGCAATCACGTTCCGACCCGTCAATCACGGCAACCAAGTGCCGAACAACCAATCAGGACCCGTTGGGGGCGGAGCCAACAGTTAAAGAGCCAAGGTATAAAAAAGGGTTCTGTGGAATGATTCATTGCCCTGTCGTGGTTCTAGCTAGTCTGGTCACTCAGTGCAATTACCTCTATTGTCTTTTGGTTCCTGACTCGGCTTGTATTTTGACCCTGCTTTCCTCTCTTGTCCTTTTGACTCGGCTTGTCTCTCGCTTACCTGATCTCTCGTTCCCTCGACCTCGGCTTGTCTCTGACTATTCTTTTGCTTTCTCCTTACGTTAGTCCGGCCATTCTAAGGTCCGGTATACGTACCTATCCCCTGTTTGTATTCTGCGTGTTGGATCCCTGTCACGATCCTGACAGCATGCCACAGTGTAAGAGACACAGAAGCAGCAAGATCAGCTTTACCTTAAGTAATGTCATTGTCAGCCAGTCCACACGTTTTCTTTCCGTACATCCCTCTTAAGTTTCTATACTTAAAGGAGTACTATAGGGTCAGGAATACAAACGTGTATTCCTGACAATATAGGGTTAAAACCACCATCTAGCCACCCTGGTCCCCTCATGACTCCCTAAAATAGTAAAATCTTACTTGTATTCAAGCCTGAAGCTATAACTCTGCATGCTGTTTGCCTTAGAAAAACAAGCTGTCTGCTGACATCATCAAAAGTGGTAGCCTGATCCAATCACAATGCTTCCCCATAGGATTGGCTGAGATTGACAAAGAGGCAGGTCAGAGGCAGAGCCAGCACAATTCAAACACAGCCCTGGCCAATCAGCATCTCCTCATAGAGATGAATTGAATCAATGAATCTCTATAAGGAAAGTTCAGTGTCTGCATGCAGAGGGAGGAGATACTGAATGTTTGGATGCATTTTAGGCAGCCATGACCCAGTAAGGATCTCTAACAGTCATCTGAGGAGTGGCCAGTGAAGTTATTACTAGGCTGTAATACAAACACTACATTTTCTCTGAAAAGACAGTGTTTACAGCAAAAAGCCTGAAGGTAATGATTCTACTCACCAGAACAAATTCAATAAGCTGTAGTTGTTCTGGTGACTATAGTGTCCCTTTAATTCCCTCTGCACAACGCAAGGGCATTTGAAGAGTAGTAAAAAAAAAAAAAAGGGTTGTTTTTTTTTAGCTTATTCCATGGGAATGGGCCAGAGGTTTCAGCACCATTGGCCACTATGTACTCAGGTTATCCTATACTATATGTTCTCATCTAAATCTTATATATCTGTTAACCGTTAACTGTTAAATGTTAAAGCTGACAAGTAATCTAAAATAAATGTTTAAACCTTGATAATATTGTACGTTATTTTTTAATTTATTTCACAATTGCAGTTAGAAACACAGGTTTTTTTCTTCTGCAATCAGATGTTTTATTTAGAGTTTCAGTGTAGTGGTCTTTAGACCAGGCTATGAATAAAGTCAACAAGTCAAAAGAGGCCATGGACTCATATCCAATTGGTACATCTGTTTGAAGGCACTTATTTAGAACTCATGACTTTAGCTCTCTGGAAGTTTTAGCTAAAAATAAAAGCTGCAGTCAGATGCAGTTATCTACAACAAACTAAGCAATTTACAGTTTCTTTTCTTCTCACAGAAAAATAGAAAAAACACTTGACTAAAGCCTTAGATTTTAGATAGATTTTATTATTATATGGAGAGATCATGAATACGTTCCACTCCATATACATAAACAACACAGCATTTAATCTCTTGTAGGCTCATCCTGAAATACTTATTTTTCTGTTATTTTCCTGGTTATTCTTGTCCCTCAACTCGCATGACTCAGTTGGTAAAGATCGAAGAGAAAAAGAAAACGTACCAAATTTTCATACCTATTTTCTCACACTTTCAATGTAAATCATTGACACATAATAAGAAGTATGTTAGAGGCTGATTCTTTAAACTAGGGCCTATTGTAAACCCTTGGCTGTTATAAGTTCCTATGCAACCACTAATGTATAATGTCATTAGAACGTTGACACACAAAATGACAGAATACCTTCCAAGAGAGGACTAACAAAGGAGGCAGGGGGGCAACTTCCCGTTGGGTCATTACCATAAATATTTTGTAGCCAGAGCTGGATTAATCAAAAGGCAACACTAGGCTGTGCTTAGGGCCTGGAGGTTAGACAGTGGCCCTATAAACCATGACTTTGATTGGATGAACCGAACTGGAAACCTGCCTAGGGCCTTGTGGGATCCTAAACTTTCTCTGGTTTTAGCTTCATTTTCTGTTAATTGAAAACCGTGGAAGACACATTTGCTAGAGTACTGCAAGGCTATGGAAGCCTTGTCAGGAATTGTGCAGAGCTTTTGCTTGCTACGCCGTGTGTGGATCTGCGCCTGGGCTGGTGGCCAATAATCTCTATAATAACCATATCTGGACTAACCCACTGGTATATTTCCCAGGAGCAGGTAATATCTGGGGCCGACCGTGCCAGACTATGATGAATATGTATCAGGTATTTGTTCTTGTAAATGAATCGTGACAAGGGGGCAATTGACAGGTGAGTATTGTGAGAAAATGGCACTTTCTTTAAGCTCCACCTTATATCAAAATTTGTCAAGTGGAGGAAAAATACACAAGACAAATAATCCCTATCTTGCCTTATTTTATGAAAAGAAGAAGAGAAAGGAAGAAAATAAGTATAGAGTAAGGAAGAGAAGAGGAATGCATAGAAAAAAAGATACATTTGGGGTGACAGAGCAGCTTTAGTCATGCGGAGATCTCTGTCAATGCTTTCTCATGCTGTGCAGATCATTCATAGGGATGCAATGTCACAATTCACAACTTCAGCAGCCTAAGTCTGTCAAACCCATATATCATCTGTACATTATGAGTGGGGCTACTCAGAAATTATTAACCCCTTAAGGACACATGACATGTGTGACATGTCATGATTCCCTTTTATTCCAGAAGTTTGGTCCTTAAGGGGTTAAACGTTCTCCCATGCCTCTACAAATAAGTACATTTATATATGTGTCTCTCATAACATTTGCACATACTAAATAAAAACATTAACGTATTTAACCAGACAATATATATATTGTTTTCAACAATTTGCAAGGATCTACATTTAAATGTATTCCATGTTAGAAATGAATACTTTGTTGTATGTAAAAAGTTAACCCATTTCCATGGATTCTAATCTTCTGTCCATGAAAAATAAACATGAATTTGAAAACTGAAGAAACATAGAAAATCAAACACATCCTCCGAGCAGGAGGGCACTGATAAAAACTACTGAATCAAATTTAACATAGAGATTTACATCCCGTGTGTCACCTCTGACCGTCAATGTGATTGAAGAGGTTTACAAATCAATCGCCTGCAATTAGCCTCTGAAAATCATATGTGAAAACATAACTAACTCTTGAATAGCAATTATGCTAAAATATAATCAAACATTCATACATGCAAAAATTGTCATAGTGATCCATCAACTTTATTTTGAGATGTAATGATCTAATATGTTTTACCTTCAAATCAGACATGATACAGTTAGTAAGTATGGATTAACTATCCACAATACATGCCAATAAACATAGATAATCGGAAAGGACGCCTGTGAGCAGGGAGGCTAATGTATAAGCCTGGAAGAGTGAATTAATGTTTGTTTTTTTGAACATAAGATATTGCAGTGGCCTTGTGAAGCCCAGTCAGAACATACTTTGCTGTACTTGACAATGATTAGCCTTGTAGCTTTCTGCAATACGGAGGCCCGAAGAGCTATTGTCATTAGTGATTACTGTCACATAAAGCATTAGTGTCAGCTTGATTAAAAACCACAAACCTTGGGAACTGGAGAAATATTTACACAAACTGCATGTGAAGATTAACACGTTGTTTTGTGCTATCAGAACTTGCACAGCGGTTAAAGCACAAAAATTTAAAGTGGCTGTGGGGGCGAGAGAAGGTGTATGGCTGGGGGCTGGATATCTGGCTGAGGGCAAATTACTGTGAGAGAAATGAGAGAGGCCAGCTGATAGGCATGGGGGAGCTGGAAGACAAAGAAGGGGGGTGAGATACACAAGAATGGGGTAGGAGTCACATGGAGGCTGGCAGAAACAGTGGTGCTCAAAGACTCCTGGGTGACAGACATGAGATGGCTGGGAAAAAATGAGGAGTCAAGAAGAGGAATTTAAACGGAGCACTAAAGTACTGCTAAGTGACATCTACATGTGAGAAAAATAATACAATTCTTTAAAGGTATACTATAAGTGCCAGGAATACAAAGCTGTATTCCTGGCACTATAGTTCCCTCTGCCTCCCCCTCCCTCGCGCCCCACCGTGGTGGTCAATAAAGGGTAAAAAACCCTTTATTTACTTACCTTAACCCAGTGCCGATGTCCCTCAGCTCTGGGTCGCGGCTCTGCCTATTCCAATGTCCCACGACAAGCAGGCGCTAATTGGATCAATGTTTTCCTATGGGGATATAGCGGACGCTGGCTGTCTTCCTGCAGAGCCTGAGGACGTCGAGCGTCAGACCAAAGGTGCCTTTGCATGCAGGAAGAGCCTCCAGTCACCTGAGGCAGACTTAGAGTTGCAATGTAAATATTGTTGTTTCTCTGGAACAGCAATGTTTAACATTGCAGCATTAAGTGCAATGGGGACACTGCACCCAGACCACTTCAATGAGCTGTAGTGGTCTGGATGCCTACAGTGTCCCTTTAAAACAACCTTTCTATATAACGAGTTGTAAAAAGGAAGAGAACACTGGAAGCTTATTAACAGTCGTTCACAGCCTCCAAAAAGAAGGTCCATAAACTTTGTCCAGCCACCCCTTTGTGGGGTCATTAGTGTATAGAATTAACTCTTTGTTCATAGTGAAAAGTCTATTGAAGTCACCAGATTTGATATTTAGTGTGGGTGACCGTATCTAACACATATGTTCTATATAGCATTTAATTCTAACAAAATCACCTGCCAATGCATAGTTTAATTGGTTTACCAACGTTTTCTTCTCTGTCTGGAACCATAGTGCCGAGCAGAACGTCATTTAACAACATTTTTAATTATACCAGAGGCAGAGTTTCAATACATCAGTTTGGATCTCAGATATTAAGTACAAAGTACAAATATGAAAGCAATTTGACATCCCCCATGTCCAGCCCAAGTTTCATTTTTCAGTTTATCAAGTATATGAGGCTTATTATTTATATATAACTTATCAACTTTTATGGGATTTCCGCTCTTAGTTATTAGCTTGGTACCATCAGCTACTCACATTTTTATTCAAGGATCAAAGATCTTTCATTATTTTCTATTAATTTACATGGTGTATAAATATTTACCTTTTACTTGGATTCCCCTTTTTTATTTTTCTACAGATTTCTATATTTATTCTAAAACATTATTATGCTAAAGGTATCAGAGATCTCTTACCCGATATCCTCTCCAGAACGACTGTATAATTAAAGTTGCCTCTTCCTCAGACAGCAGTAATGACAGGGGAATGGGCTTCCTTGGACTAGAATAGAAAGGTCACTTGTTTTATTTGTGTTCGGTAAAAATTACAATGTTAAAATTAAACATTTCCTTTTGCTTAAGATTACATACACATAAATACAGGGATTCTCATTCATCACTAACACCTCCTTAATGAGGTAGCAATATTCTAGCCCAGCCTTTTAGTATTACTGTGCCAAAACAAGATTTTGAAGTCCCGTGGTGTGCCGGTCCTTGTTAAGTTGTGTATGCTGCCGTATTTTGCTTGTGTTATTTAAGACTTCTGTAGTTGATTTGTAGGGTTGTACATATTGTAGGCGGTTATATTGTATACGTTCATGAATAGTTTGTGGCATTGTGTATGATACCTATAAATGGGGGCTGTGTATGGGGGATGCTTGTGTAATTGTGTGTGGATGCTATATTGCATCGTGTGTTTGGTGTGTGTGTGGCTGCTTGCTGTATTGCATGTTAGAGGATGATTGTGTTTGTGTGCATGTATGTGGATTGTCAGTGGTGTTGTGGTTATTGAGACTGTGTTTGTGTATGGGCTGTTTGTATTATTTATATGAGGGGGAGACTTCTTCTGCAGCTATGTGTTGATCAAGCAGTGTGGGGTCCAGTGGGCACCGGGCTGGCCAGATACAGGTCAAGGGCAGGAGCTGTGATAGCTGCTGCGGGCTGCTCTCCTTCAGTGCGGATCACCATTCACAAAGGCTGGGTTGAAATGATCTGAGATTACTTTCTGTAAGTGCTGCAATGCATAAATTGAGCATTGTCCCTCACAACTCAGCTTGCTCTAAGGACTCCTGATAGGCCAGAGTTTGTTTGGCTCTGGCAGGCCAAGTGCTGTGCAAAGGCACAACCACCGTAGTTTGCTGACCCTTATTCTAGTCTATGTATAAAACTGTGAGTGCTTAAAGGAACACTACATGGTCAAGAACACAAACATATTCCTGACTCTATTAAAAACACCATTTGGCCCTCTGACCCCCCCACTTTGCCTCCCTAAATATAGTAAAATCGTACCGTTATTCCAGTCTGCTGCTGCACGCTCTGCCCCTGATCTGCCTCCTTGTCTGACATCATCAGAAGTGGTGATCTCAGCAAATCACAATGCTTTCACATAAGAAAGCGCTGGATTGGCTGAGCTTGTCAAGGAGGCAGATCAGGGGCCGAGCCAGCACAAGCCAAACACTGCCCTGGCCAATCAGCATCTCTTCATAGGGATGCATTGAATCAATGCATCGCTATGAGGAAAGTTCAGTGTCTGCATGCAAAGGGTGGAGACACTGAATGGCAGTGCTGCACACTATGCAGCACTGCCCCTGGAAGCACCTCTAGCAGCCATCTGAGGAGTGGCCAGTAAGGTTATCACTAGGCTGTAATGTAAACACTGCATTTTCTCTGAAAAGACAGTGTTTACAGCAAAAAGCCTAAAGGGAATGATTGTACTCACCAGAACAAATACAATAAGCTGTAGTTGTTCTGGTGACTATAGTATCCCTATAAAATTAAAGACACAGAAAATGAGTTGCACATTTCATCAGAGTGTCTGTATGTACTGATTGTGTTTTGTCTGTGGTGGATGAATTTTGTGTATATGTCCCCCCTCTGCCGTCTTTGGTAATCCAATGGAGGGTGAGCAGGATCCCTGGTGGTCAATCAATATCAGATACAGACCCCTTTAAGAACATGTGACTCTTCACTCCGCACAGCATTGTGGTCTGTACCAGTACCAGGTACAGACCGCAATGCTGTGCGGAGTGAAGAGTCACATGTCCATGCATGAAGATAGTTTGATCTCCCTGTCTTATCCTAGGCCATAGCAGGCAGTCTTGGTCGCCTAATGGATAATCAGGCTCAGGATAATGGCATCAAGATCCAAAATGCTGGCTGTTGTTATGAAGTACAAAGTGACTATTTAAAGGGTTACTCCAAATTACATGACTACTACAGCCTGCTGTAGTGTTTATGATAAAATACAAATGAGGGAACAACACACACACACAAAAATGTAGGAAATAACTAATTTAACACAAAAATGCAGAAAAAGCATTAAATGAGAAGAGTCTCTGGAAGCAGTTTAAAGCAAGTAGAATGCTAATATCCCGTGTTTAAATTAGTGTAGGACCAACCAATATTGGGGTACTGTTAAATATGGTCATATGGTAAAACTGAATCCCTATATTTGTTTGCTGGGATAGATGATTTTAAGTCTATATTAAAACTATATTTTTCTTGTGTGTGTGCTGTTTTTCTCATATGTATTGTGTATATACAGTTGCAAGAAAAAGTATGTGAACCCTTTGGAATGATATGGATTTCTGCACAAATTGGTCATAAAATGTGATCTGATCATCATCTAAGTCACAACAATACACAATCACAGTCTGCTTAAACTAATAACACACAAAGAATGAAATGTTGCCATGTTTTTATTGAACACACCATGTAAACATTCACAGATCACTTTTTTCCCTCTGCTGTCAACAGCCCTTGCCAGCCCTCCAATTTTCCAATATATTCTAATTAGAGGCTTCTCAAACACTCCAGACACATAGAGCACTTCAGCAACCTAAAGCTCTTTATGCATACCAGTAAAGGACTGGTCTGTGTGGCAGCCTGTCTGACCAGCCCCCTACCAATAACACCATGCAGGGTGCGTTGGTGGAGCGAGGTCTGCATAATTCTAGTGCCCGCTTCACAGCATGGACTGTTTCCTGTTGTCACTAGATGTGAATCACCAGGGAACTAAAGCAGGACAGGACCCCGAAATCAGGGCCATCCTGCCAAAAGCCAGACTATTGGGGGGCCTGCCTTATGTATGTGGAATATTAATATGTCTTTAATATTTTATTATTTATTTGTATAAACTAGACTACGACATTCACTTTGATTACAGATTATTTTTTTTTACCTATGAGTTAATAATCAATTCAGTATGAGGCAAATCGAGCTTCTGTGTGACGCAGTATCAAGAAAATTAGCTTATTCAATATTGATGCCTCGCTGCTGACTAACATTAAAAGCAGCCATAGGTTATTGTAGTGAATTGATAGCCTGCTAATGTGTACATGCCGAGGATATTGATTGCTAAAAATTGCAGGGATTTTCATTTGTTATCTATGTTGTGTAATAAAGGGAGGTCGAGACTACAACAGCCATGAACTGATGTGGCACCATCATCAGAGATTGTTAATGCACGTATCTGCTTATACTTTGTGTAGATCAGTTATTGAATCTGGTCAGCGCTAGTTTACACAACATGAATACAAGACTTCTGGCTAACCCTTGTTTTATTTGTATGTGTTGGTCACACTGCGTTATCATACTGTACAAATGACTTGGAGAGGATCTGCATAGAGGAGTGGGACAAAATCCCTCCTGAGATGGGTGCAAACCTGGTGGCCTAATACAAGTAATGTCTGACCTCTGTGATTGCCAACAAGGGTTTTGCCACCAATTACTAAGTCAAAGGGGTCAAATACTTATTTCACTCATTGACATGCAAATCAATTTATAACTTTTTTGACATAGGTTTTTCTTGTTTTTTATTTTCTTATTCTGTCTCTCACTGTTAAAATACACCTACCATTAAAATGATAGCATGATGATTTATTTGTCAGTGGGCAAACGTTCAAAATCAGCAGGGGATTAAATACTTTTTCCCCTGTATGCGTCAGTGTGTATATCTGTGTCTGCATCTGTGTGTCAGGGTGTGTTTGTGTATGTAGGTATCTATATGTTAATGTGTGTATCTGTGTGTGAGTGTTTATGTGTCATGTGCATATGCGTATGTGTGTGCATCAGTGTATCAGAGTGTCCGCCTGTGTGTGTATATGTCGGTGTATGCATGTGTCAAAGTGTGTATATATGTCAGATTCAGGCCTGGGGGGCAATATGGCTGTACAGGGCACAGGCCCTGGCCCCACAGTCCCAATGTGCACATATATATTGATTATCACTATATATATATATGTCTGTATACTACAGAGGGAGCTCATCCAGCGCCATTTTACAGCAGATCCCCCCTCTCTAACTTATGTGAGCCTCTGTGCTGTTAAAGCGTTGCCACAGATTAACATGGCATCGCTCTGCATGGCACACACCTATCTCGCGAGAGTTAGAGTAGCAGATGTAAAGTGAAAATGGCATTGGCTGGGCCCCCTCTGTAGTATATAGTCCTGGCTCCCTGCACCATGCCAATGACCAACAGGGGATGTAATCACCCCCTTCCCTGGCCTCAGTTAAAGGACCACTATAGTGCCAGGAAAACATACTCGTTTTCCTGGCACTATAGTGCCATGAGGGTGCCCCCACCCTCAGAGTCCCCCTCCCGCCCGGCTCTGGAAAGGGGGAAAGGGGTAAAACTTGCCTTTTTCTATCGCTGGGCGGGGAGCTTTCCTCCTCCGATCCTCCTCTGTTCCTCCCCGTCGGCTGAATGCGCACGCGCGGCAAGAGCTGCACACGCATTCAGCCGGTCGCATATGAGACAGCCACCAGAGGCTTTGGGGGAAGGATTAACCCATTTATAAGCATAGCAGTTTCTCTGAAACTCCTATGTTTATAAAAAAAATGGGTTAACCCTAGCTGGACCTGGCACCCAGACCACTTCATTAAGCTGAAGTGGTCTGGGTGCCTAGAGTGGTCCTTTAAGAAGCAGGGAGGGAGAATAAAAATAAATTTATTAAATTAAATGTAAAAAAAAAATAATTCTGTTCCAATATAATACTGCAACTTTTTTACACAACATTTACACACTGCTTTCCCTACACAAACACACACTCTGCATTCACTATACATACACTACATTTACTATATACACACTGCATCCACTACACACACTACATACACTATACAAACACACACTCTGCATTCACTATACATACACTATATTTACTATACACACAATGCATCCACTACTCACACACTACACAAACACTCTGCATTCACTATACACACACTACATCCACTGCACATTCTGCATTCACTACACACACTGCATCTATTACACACAAACACTACACCCACTGCACACACTACACACACTGCATCCATTACACAAGCATACAATCTCCATTCACTATACAAACACACACTCTGCACCCACTACACAAACATCCACTACATTATTAATATTCATTCAAATGGCAAAACATATATGCCTTTGCTTAGTTCATTCTATTCTGAGGATACAAGGATATGCGTCCTGCAATCAATGTGTAGGATAATAAAAAAACTACAATATTAAAGGACCACTATAGGCACCCAGACCACTTCAGCTTAATGAAGTGGTCTGGGTGCCAGGTCCATCTAGGTTTAACCTTTTTTGCTGTAAACATACCTATGGGTTAATTCAGCCTCTAGTGGCTGTCTCATTGACAGCCGCTAGAGGCGCTTCTCACTGTGATTTTCACAGTGAGAAGACGCCAGCATCCATAGGAAAGCATTATTAATGCACATGTGCATTCAGCCAATGACGGAAGAAGAGGGAGGAGAGTCCCAGCGCCGGTAAAGGATTAAGGGATTAAGGTAAGGGATTAACCCCTTCCTCCCCCTTCAGCCCGGCAGAAGTGGGACCCTGAGGGTGGGGGCACACTCAGGGCATTATAGTGCCAGGAAAATGAGTATGTTTTCCTGGCACTATAGTGGTCCTTTAACAATAACGCATATACTATCGTGGACAATAATCGACACTGCAATGTACTACACAATGCTTACTTTGTTGCTTTTGAGACATTTCAGCTACATTTTGCAAGTGGTCTAGAATGTAAAACCTACTTGCAGAAGATTGAGTCCAGCACTGGATCCGTGGTGAGAGGTTTGCTTTATTCTGTTAAGGATTATTGCTGTGACAATTGCTTTAGCTCCATGGGGAGCATTAGAAAAATGCAGAGAAATCACGCAGATTCCAAAACTGAACAGAAAGCGGTTGACTTGAGCTACAATTGTTACATCTCCAGGGAAATCATTGGGCTGCACATAGGCTGAGCATGCGAGACGATTTTATTTATACAACGCATAAGGTACATAGGTCTCAATTCAATATTTTTAAATAAGCTTTTCCAATGATTTAATATTTTTAGGTAAACTTTTAAAAGTGCTTAATATTATTAAAAACATGTAAATATTTAGATTTTTTTTAATACAGATATGTATCTTTTATACATATAATATATTTTTCATACTTTAATATTATGATCAATTTTTTTTAAAGTTTAACCAAAAATATTAAATCATTTGAAAAGCTTATCCAAAAATATTAAATTGAAGCCATAATAAGGTGCAATAATGCTTATTTATTTGTTTCTTCTAATCTTACCAAAAAACAAATTCCCAAATCTATGCTATTCATCCAAATTCTAAAATAAGATCAAACAAACAGGAAGTAAAAAATGCGGTCGACAAATTGCTAAGTAATGAAATGTTTACTGGTTTCAGGGTACCTACCTAACCCCCGGGACCTAAGGCGACTTCCTAGGGTCGCCTTATAGTTAATCTTGCTCTGCCCTTCCTCCTGTGTGGGTTATAAGGCTAGACAGCAAAGTAAATATGAGTCAAGTATAATGTTTCAATGCAGACGTCTCTAGAACGTAGTAGTTCAATCCACAGAGTGGTTTATCAGAGGGACAGGTCAGTCACCTTGTCGCATTTGCTGTTGGAATTAGAAAGCATGCCAACGCTGTTACGGTTTATTAACAAAAAATATGCAACTGGCTGCGGGGCATTTAAAAATAGAATGGCAACTGCAAAACTTCAGCCATTGAAGAGAAAACGAGGAGAGAAGGGAATCTGTCATCTCTCGTTAAATCCACAATACGAGATCTTGTATCACGCAGGAGCTTATTCACTAAAATGTGAATTGTGTGCAAAAAAATTAAACATTAAGAACAAAATAGTCAAGAAAACATGTTTAATTAGGTCTTCTTTGAGATTTTAATAAACATATTAAAACCATTTTAATGATTTTTTTTTATAACTAATCAGAAGGTTAAAGGACCACTATAGTGCCAGGAAAACATACTCGTTTTCCTGGCACTATAGTGCCCTGAGGGTGCCCCCACCCTCAGGGTCCCCCTCCCGCCCGGCTCTGGAAGGGGGAAAGGGGTTTAAACTTACCTTTTTCCAGCGCTGGGCGGAGAGCTCTCCTCCTCCTCTCCGCCTCCGTTCGCCCGCTGAATGCGCACGCGCGGCAAGAGCTGCGCGCGCATTCAGCCGGTCGCATAGGAAAGCATTTACAATGCTTTCCTATGGACGCTTGCTCTCACTGTGAAAATCACAGTGAGAAGCACGCAAGCGCCTCTAGTGGCTGTCAATGAGACAGCCACTAGAGGCTTTGGGGGAAGGCTTAACCCATTAATAAACATAGCAGTTTCTCTGAAACTGCTATAATTATGAAAAAATGGGTTAACCCTAGAGGGACCTGGCACCCAGACCACTTCATTAAGCTGAAGTGGTCTGGGTGCCTAGAGTGGTCCTTTAATATATTATTATTACCTTCACTAGATTCTTTGTTTTAAATAAAAAAGAAACCTGACATGACACTTATTTGAAAAATGGTAAAAAAATGGTCTAATAGCCCACTTTCAGGTATTTGTAAGGGAAAATGTTATTTGTGTGTTGAATAATGCCACATTTACACCAATTATTTGTGTTTTACAGAGAAGGCCAGACAGCTTTTGCAAACTGCAAATAATACTTGTAGTGTACTCTCTATACACAGAGCCCCCTATTCCCCTACCATCTCTGACTGTTAGAAGGCAGACACAATCGATCTGCTGTTTAGTAGATAACTCCCTAATTTGGTATCCTTACATGGGACTGCCATATTAAAGGATACCAGATAAGGGAGATATCTGCTAAACAGCACCCTAATGTAGTATTATTAAATATGGAATTCCCACATAAGGGTACCAATTTAGGGAGTAACCTAGTAGCCTTTTTCTTAATTATGATCTATCAGCTGTTTAGTAGATAGTACCCTCATTTTCTACCTTATGTGGGATTGCTGTATTTACGGTTATCAGATTAGGGAACTATGTATTAAAGATGGAAACTAAGGAAAGCACTTTGTGAAATTTAGCTTTTTCGTTTTTTTTAGTAGATAACTTCCTAATTTGCTATAATTTGCAAAATTAATTCAAAATTAATTGATTTGTTATGTTTATTTGTTTTCATTTAGTTTTCGTGTTGCGGTTATTCAGAAATTTTGATGAAATTCAATATGATCCAAAACATGTTGCGTCACTCTAACAATTTGCTTGGCTGGCAAAATAAACTTGACCCTAAGGTAGAAGGGAACACACCACCCCAACTCCAGAGGCAAAAACCAAAGAGACTTCAGTGATTCGAGTTTAAATTGCCAAACGAATTACAACTGATTACATCAATTCAGCTGAAAATGAATGTACTAGTCTGCTTCTTGGGCTGCAGTTTGGTGCGGGTGAATTGACATGAGCCACTGTCATTACAAAACAAAGTGGCGGAGAAGTGAACGGCATGCCCAATGCCGCTAAAAGTGAGCAAGAAGTGGTTGCCTGGTGAGTATTCTTCACACGCCTAGAACCATGGTGGAGGGGGAATTTAATTTAAGAGACACAGATGACCCTTCGGAGATCCCAAAAGTCAATACACAATGAAAGGCATGCCCTAGGAAGGGCAGATGTAAAGATTTCTGTTGAGCACCATATTGGACAAACCACGATGGAGGTGCCATGAATAAAGACCCAATGGGACCAGCAGGATTGGAAAAAAAGATAATTAGCACTGGTCACATGGCCACTTACAAGCATTGGGAGTTAGGGGGTCCCCAGGAGATGCAGGAATTAGGTAATTCAGGTTACTGTCTGTAGCTTTGGTAATGATGGAGGTATGGCCGCATTCCACATTAAGTAATATTATAACCCACTGTGTATTTACTGACGATGCCCACTGAAACCTATTGGGTGTATGAGTGGAAAAACTAGGTTCCGTTACCTTGCTGGGCCCAATAAAGGTTGTTTAAAGTACGATGCAGACAAATATTTGGTGTTTTATAAATCATAATAATAGCAGGCAAGAAAATGCACAATCTCCTAGACTTCTAAAGTGTAATATTGCACACCCTCATATGGAGTAGCTGTGAATCTGGATGTTATTGCATAACAGATGCTGCAATGGTAAAGAATAATCAGAATACATTTCAATTTAACTTGTGATGTTTGCTTACTAGCAGAATGTTTAGTTAACTTTCTGCTTGTTTTTTTTTTCAATAGAATGCTTTCCTCCTCTGTAAATGAGGTGACGCATCCTGGCTTTTATTTCTGTTGATGTAAGTTAGCAGGTGAAGGAACAGCAGGGAGGAAGCGTATTTATGCTGATTAAGCAATTGTATGACAAGTAATGAGTGGTTAAGCACAGGAGCCTTTGTAGAATGATAATCTGCATTCAGAGAGCAAAATTCTGCATTAATTACTAAACTCCAGGTGCATTTACTTAGCTTCTGATAGATTTTAATTTTTCAGAAGAGATTGAATTGTGGATGCAATACAATGTTACATTATATGTGGGTGAGGGGTGGAGTGAAGGCAGAAAGACAATGGGATGGGTAGTCATAGAGGTACCGATCAGGAGTCACGTATATTTTTGGGGATGTATGTTAAAGTGAAAACCCATGTGTACATTTTTCTATTGTTGATTTGAAAGATATGCTGCACTCTGAAGAATCATCCTTAAAGGGTAACTGCCTTTTCCCACTATATTATGTTTACCTATCCCTTTAAATGTATCAATTATGTGTTTGTAAAGGTCTCTAAAATATTTCTGAGATGGTTATTCACTAAACCGAGAATTCAGTGAATTTCAACTTGAAAGGTATATTTATTAAACACAGGAATTGGTCCAAATGGATAAAATCCGGTGAAAATTACCAAATTCCGACCGTATTGGCAATTCTCAGATTTACTAAAGCCAGATGCAGTTAGGATTTGTTCGGTACGATCGATTCTGTAACATTTGTTTTGAAAATCACTGATAGCATCTGAACCAATTTACACCAGTGGACTAGGATATTTATCCGGCAGGATGCACATTCGCCAATTATTATCCACTTAGGAGGACAGTTACAAACAAATGTATTTAGGAAGCCTACTGACTGCAACAGACTGCAACAGCTTGCATTATAGTCCCTATCGAGAAGCCAACTCAAATGAGTTAAAATAATTGTATCGAGATAAAAGTGATCTACAACTTGAGGAAGAGATTTACATAGTGAGGATATCCAATTAACCTTCTTAATTCCGAGGTCGCTGAAGTCACAAAGGTGGACAGGATAACACTGCTGAAGCCAAAAGGATCCAAGAGACAGGTCAAAGAGAATAGATTGAAGTTTGTTACAAAATACAGCACGTGGTCCTCTAAAGCTGTAAGGATCATGAAGAAACACTGGCCTGTCTTGCAGAGATGTTATGCAGATACATCTGAATTCTCTCTACTTCCACAAATTTCTTATAAGGAATCAAATTAACTATAAATTAATTGGATAGAGCAGAACTCACTCCCTTAAAGAAAAAAAAACAAATTATGTTTTTAAAATTTTTAGGCCCAATGAAAAAGGAAATAATCACTGCTACTCATGTATGTTTTTAGATGATACATTCAATAATCCTTATAATGCTAAGAGATATACAATCAAGGATTTTGATACTTGTACCACTACATTTGTGGTGAAATTTCCATGTGGTTTAATCTACACGTGGGAGAGACCAAAAAAAAAAAAATGAAAGGTAACTTCACAAAACATAAACCCACGGTGCTTACAGTTACCTGACCTCCCTGTCCACTTTCATGAAATGAAATAGCTTAAAAGACAAGAGGTCCTTTTTAAAAAAACTTTAAATTTTTATTAAATATGGCAGTGACGTCATTTCCTACAGGAGCTACATTGTGAGAAGGCACGAATACGTCAATGTTCCCTATCACTGAGCCATTCAATGTAATGTCTGAGCATTTCACCATTGTTGCCCACCTCCTCTTGATAGGTGACTTCACTAATTAGAATTTTTACATTTATGGCAAGGATATTAATACATAAAAAAAATGGGGATGAATAGAAGACCACAGGCACCACAATATAGGATGTAAAACATAAAATGTATTCTGGATAAAAAGGACAGAAATAAAATACAACATTTTGGCGTAAGGCAGGGGCGTACCAACAGCATTTGGCACCCGGGGCAGACCCTGTGTTTGGCACACCCCTCCTCCCTTTCAAATGTAAAATAATAAAAAAAAAAATGTTATTCTAATTTTTTTAATATATTTTCTAATTGTCTCCCGGTCCCCTTTCTACAAAACCCCTGCCCCCCCCCTACAAAAACCCTGAACCCGCACCTCAACGAAAACCCCTGCCCAGTCCCCCTTCTACAAATCCCCTGCCCAGTTCCCCTTCTACAAAGCCCCCCCATCTACAAAGGCCCTGCCCAGTCTCCCTTTTACAAATCTCCTGCTCCCCTCTACAAACCCCCCTGCCCAGTCCCCTGTAACGGTACCCCCAGGCATAAAAGGGGTTAAAAGCCGTTTAGGAGATTTTCCCTTTTCAGAGATACAGGCACAGCTACTGCAGAATATCAAACTCCCGAACCGCATACAAGGGAATGCTCCAAACTCCCGAACTGCATACAAAATAGCACTCCAAACTCCCGAACTGGAACCTCACGAATAGCTGCTAGCAGACGAATAGGAAAAGCACCCAAGCGGCTTACACTCCTAGCAATCAGTCTCTATCAGCATACAGTAAATCCCCCCAAAGACGAGACAGAGCTCCGTGTTGAGGGTCAAGCAGTGGTCTGTTTAATGAGGGCTACCTGCCCAGTATTTATGCAGGTCTCCCACCTGGTGGACACTCCCCTAGGGGACCAAATGGGAGACTGTGACAAAGGACAGACATGAACCAATGACAGACATACAGAGGTAAAACCTCCCCACAATGCATCCTAACTTCCCTCCCTCTGTCCTGGAGATAATTGGGAAGTAATCCAATTATCTCCCATGACAGAGTCAAAACTCCATTAACCACATGGTTACAGTAAAACACTAAAACACAATAAAATACACAATATTACATTTATCACACAAAATATATACTTGCAACCCATCCCCAGATAGCTGGGATCTGAGCACACAAAAGTACCGAATACCGCTCAGATCCTATGCACACAGTCCAATCGCCGTGGAGTTAAAGTGTTCCTAAATCTGTTCTCCATACGAATAGACTCCACGGGATGGCTATCTGGGGTAATGCTGTTCATACGGTTTAAACTACCGAATGAACAGGCATTCGGTTAACTGACCGAATGCAGAAGCAAGGAGGTTGACGGCTCAGCGGTGTTCGTGCAACTAAGTGTCTGTTTACAGTTCCACAGCTTGGGCGCTGAACACCGCTGGCCATTCGGGACTTTAAAATGGCCGCCGCCACGTGTTCGGCAACCGAACAAAGGCCACCCAGCATTCGTCAATTAAGCTGCGGTTAACCGCAGCTTCTGGGAGGTTAATTGCCGACACACTCCAGCTCCCAGGTGGTCCAGTCATTCGTGCATTAGTTCAGTAGATTGAATCTACCGACCGCCGGGCAGAAAGACAGGAATAAGCCTTTTCTGTAGGGGAAAAGAAGTCTTTTAACATGGGGCCATAATCCAAAGGCAACAGGCGAGCAACCAGGCTTCTCCAATGCAATGTGGCGAGATTGCTCTCGTCACAACCCCTTTCTACAAAACCCCTTCCCCCTCTACAAAACACAGCACCCGCTTCTCTACAAAAAACCCTGCCCAGTCCCCCTTTTACATATCCCCTGCATCCCTCTATAAAAACCCTGCACCCGTCTAAAAAAATCCTGCATCCCTCTCTAAAAAAAAACCTGCGTTCCTCTCTAAAAAAAGATCCTGCACCCCTCTACAAAACTCCTGCACCCCCCATTCACAAATATCCCTGACCTCCTCTCCGAGACCCCTGCCCCCCTACAAACACCCTGCATTTACAAAAATCCCTGCCCCATCTGTACAAAAACCCCTGGACCCCACTACAAACCTCATGCACCCCCCATTCACAAAAAGCCTTGCCCTCCCCTGCCCCCCTACAAACTACCTGCACCCCCCATTCACAAAATGCCTGCCCCCTCTCTACAAAAAACCCTGCTCACCCCCTCTACAAGAGCCCTGTCCCCCCTACAAACCTCCTGCGCCCTCCATTTGCAAAAAAAACCCTGCCCTATTCCTCTCTACAGACCCCTGCTCACCCCCTCTATCAAAACCCTATCCCCACTTCAAACCACCTGCACCCCCCTACAGCCCCCTGTATCCCTATTCACAAAAACCCCTGTCCACCCCCTTCTATAGACCCCTGTCCATTCCCCTCCCCTACAAGACCCCTGCAAACAAACAAAAAAGCCCAATATTACACTCAGCACTCAGTCTCACCCTGCTCTTTCTTATGCTTGCTGCTCCCTGCTGATCCGGGCTCCAGACTCTCCCGCCACGGCTCTGCCCACACAGAGTGTCAGAGCACTTCAGCTCAAAACACCGTGAGGGCGGAGCAAGTTGACAGCCTCCAGATTCCTCCTCCAGCTGCCCAGCTGCGGCTCTCACTTAAAGGGTAGGTGCCAACCCCCTCACCCGCCTATTAGTACGCCACTGCGTGAGGCCTTAATCCTGATGGCGAAAACGTTGTATTTTATTTTTGTACTTTTGATCTAGAATACATTTTTTTCGTTAGCACCCTACATTATGATGCCTGTGGACTTCTATTCATAGTTGTTTTTGGTGGGTGACGGACCCCCGACCAAAGAGCTCCAACGTATTCATTAATTCTGTGCAGCATTCTGCACACATTGTGCGTTTAAAATGGGGGTCATCTCCAGCCCGGAAAGTCCCTTTCATCTTAGATAAGATTCCTTATTTAAATATATTTCTGTGTATGATGAGCTTGTACTTACTGATCTTTCAACCATTCTTGGACAAACGGAATTTCAAAGAAGCCGGTGAACTGGTGATCTTTCTTATTTGGATTGTGGCTGTAATAAAAATAATTATGTTACAAAGAAAAGAAAGTGCGGTAATTTGCCGTTGCTTTATAACCAGCATGACATGTTTACTTACTTATAAAGCCACTGAGTGAGGAAGTCACAAGGCATGAATTTTGTTCTTTTTCTCTACAATACAAATAAACATTATTTATTTTTTATTTTTTCAACACAGATGTGAATGTCTCAGGGTAATTACTGTATATATGTAAATATATTATATAATCGATTATTATATATTATTACATATGTGATAATTATATATTTTTATATATGAAAAACTGCTTTATTTTATAGCAATAAATGCTTTATGAGCATGAATGGGTCTTGTGTTTAACAAATATCTCGGAATGTAAAACATTTTTTCAATTTTACTGGCCTGCATTAATGCAGCTACGAAAATCAATGTAAATATTTAAAATCAATTCAATGAATAATTGTAATTTCTGAGGAAAACCATGGGCACCAATAATACAAATTATAGTTTTGACTTCATATTAATGCAGTAATTTTTTTCCATATTCAAATATTTTTTGCTAAAGAAAAAAAAAAATGTAACCCTGCCTCATTAGCCACACATGTGCCTTTTAATAGTGCCAATGTGTACTACAGCGTTTATAGAAAGCGGACATTTAGAGACAAAGAAGGTCCTGCTCAAACAAGCTTACAATCTATGAGGATAGAAAAGTATACAGTATAGCTCAGCCACTGAAAGTTCAGGGCTGAGATGCTGACTTGACTCCATAAATAATTTGTTTTACCCTGCCCACTTTTATGGATTACACAGATCCTTCATTCACTCATGGGAAGGGAGAAGTAGATTTTTGGCCCACTCAGTCGCTAAGATGTCATTATGCACAAGACAATTTCTAAATGGTCCCCCAGGTGACTTAATAATAAAAACCCACCAAATACAACTTAGCACAATATTAAAACAATTGCAAAACACGAATTAGTCTCTTCAGGTAACGTGATTCTTTACCAGACAAAGGCAGAACTTAATAAAGGAATATTTATTGGGAGCAAAAAATAGTCACAGTGCATACAAAAAATAGATGATAAACAAATAATTTACACCAACAACAGATGAAAACAAAAGGGATAAAATAACAGAAGTCCTAATCACTCAGGTTTTCAAAGTAAAACTTCTGCCCAGGGGGTCTCTGGTAAGTGAGATAGTGACTCACACAGAATTAGAGTCTGGCCCCTAAGCAAGTACAATACACATCTCAGTATCATTAGATATATACCCTGTGGATTACCAAGCCTGGCCCAAAAGGTGGCGATAAGGTGTACCTAGAAAGAAAATATGTGACCACCCCCTTGTGTTCCAGACCAACATCAATCCAAATGGAAATATTTGGTTCTAACTCCTCTATGTACGTGCCACTGAAATAATAATTGCATCTATGAATTTGTTACCATTTTTCCATTTCATAGATATGTCACATTGTGACCCAATATAGCGGACATCACAATTCCTTCCCATATGGGTAAGTTACGCATATCATGCTTAGGCTTGATTAGAAGACTGTGCCAGTCCCATTCCAAATATATAAAAAATTAGGCTTAATCATTATTCTGCGGGTAAATATTAATGTTTCTTTTGGATATGATACTGGAACACAAGGCTTGTTTTCTTTTTTTTTTTCTTGAAAGCTAATCAACTCATCAATTAAAAGGTACAGGCCTTATGGCTGAGGTCATCTAGTTTACATTGGAACTAGACATTCAGGCATCTCAAGTGTAGAATCGTTAAAAACCCCAACAGAAAAAAAGAATCATATAGTTTAATGTATTTAATTATTTATATATTTTATTGCAACAAAAACTGGTGGGGCACTATCGCTATGGATGAACCTCATTTGGTGTCAGGCCCTGCATCTCCTAAAGATAGAAAAAAAAAGTTTCAACGTATATGTTTATTATATTTCTATGTACAAACTAGCATAACATTATTATACATTGGACTGATCCCACATAAGAGAGGGGAAAGTTCTTGAACTCTACATCTATACTGCATCTATACTGGTAAGAACAGGTTCCATGTCTGTAAAAGGTACTAGAGCACCAGGTGTAATCTTGTGGGCGAGGGGAAGAAAATGTCAGGAGAAAGAAAGGAAGAAAATTCAACATGAGTGGGAAAAGAAACATCTACCAATAGGTTTCAATAGTGAAGGACATGTGTCCTGGTAAAGGGAGAGAAAATGTCTATCAATAGAGATACAAAAATGTTGTAGACAAAGGCAAAAAGATTTGCAATGGCTTGTTGTCACCATTTTGTCTTTTTGTGTTTGTTTGGCTGTAATGTTATGGCTTGTTTGGTATTATTGTGGCATTCCTAAATAGTTTCAGTATACAATTTAGGTGTTACATCTAATGTTTCACATCAGAAGAAGACAGCCAGGTAGAACACCAGAGAGATCATGGCAGCCAATGAACGTCAGAATGGAGATGCTATATAACATGCATTATCAGAAAAACATAATGTACAAACTACAAGCAGAAAATAGAGGATGGGTGCAATCAATCCTAGTTCGGAATAGGAACAACTAATAAAACATATATAATTATATTTTCAATAGTTCAGATAAACTACTAACACCATAATCTCGGTAGATTATATAAAAAAAAAAAAACAAAGAACATATATCGGCAAACGTGTAATTAAAATAATAATAAAAAAAAATTGAATGTTCTTGCATTTGCTGAAAGCCCCAGGATTTGCTCTTGCCAAACCAGGAAATGACTCAGCCAGTCTTGATGCTCTGATTATTTTCAATGAGATTTGAGTTTTTTTTTTTAACTTTTCTTTGCTCAGGACCTAGCAGCAATTCCACCCTTGATATAAGCCTTTTGATAACTCCATTAAGAAATTTGTGAGTGGACTTATAAGATGTAATTATGTAGCAATAATGTGAGAATTCATTTGGGGAGTCATACAGAATGCATATGCGATATGAGTCCAAATGAAATGTTGGAAGGTATGTGTTTAGAGTGTTGCTTTCATGGTATCTAATAACAGCATGATTAATTGAAATTGTGTATGGTTTAAAAAAATGTAAGATTATTCAATGCAGTTTAACATTAAACATAAGATCCCAAACAGTGTACAGGAGTTTTTGCTAAAGACGAGATAAGACATAGCGACACCCTGGGGAGTTACATCACGGGTACTAGCAAATAGACATGTATTTATATATGCAAGTTATCTAAGAAGAAAACAATTCACATTGTGTGAGTTTCCTGTGTTTTTCCTAATGAAAAAAAAAATTGGACACTGTTTGTGCCAGGAGTACATGAATTTAGGTCAACCTACGTGTCACAGTTTTCCAAACAACATTGAGCTTCCCTCTACATATGACTGAATCCTTTTGCTGTGAACTAATAACCCGGCATGTATGCTTTTTTGTTTTGTCTATTACAATTCTAAGATGAATACCTTTATTTTTTTCTTTAATTTGACATAAATTGTAAATATTCACTCAGGACTACTTAAATCCTAAGAAATAGATAAAGATTTGTTACAGTTTAGAAGTGCCCTAGTGGCAGGTTTTCCCTTATGTGCACGATAATTATCTGTTTTTGACTTCAATAAATGTCTACTTGGATCAATAGCATTTTGTTTCTGTGCCTCTCTGTTCTTTGTGTAATCCCAGGCAGACATGATGATGTCAGGATCAATGGCACCATACCATCACTCCCAGGGCTCTGTTCTTCTTTACACCGAAAATAGTTCTTAATTACTTTGGCTGTATGTTTGGGCTTGTTGTCATGATGCAGAATAAATTTGGGACTAATCAAATACCTCCCTGATGGTATGGCATAGTGGATAAGTATTAGTCTGTACTTCTTAACATTGAGGAGATCATTAATTCCGACCAAATTCCCAACTCCATCTGCAGAAATTCAGCCCCACACTTTCAAGAAACCTCCACCATGCTTTAATGTTACTTGCAGAAACACATTCTTGTACCGCTTTCCAGCCCTTAGGTAAAAATATTTCAAATTTTGACTCATCAGAGTAGCTGCTGCCAATTTTTCTGTACCCCAGTTCCTGTGTTTTCGTGCATAGTCGCTTGGCCTTGTTTCCTATTCATAGGTGTAGTTTTTTAGATTACATCTCTTCCATAAAGACCATTTATGACCAGACTTCTCCGGACAGTAGATGAGTGTACCAGGGTACATTCACCTATACACAAGTTATAGGTGAATTTCAATGCTTTATTCAATGGTGTAACTTCCAGAGAAATGACAGTTTACCTTACATAAATTTCTACCTATATCTACTGAGATAGACCTGGCAAAGTGTTGGGATGTGATCTATTATCATAAAGCATATTCCCCTATCACAGAACATTTACATTTTAAGCAGTATGGTAATAAACAGAGCTTCTGATATCATATATTTGTAATTATTATTATCCTGAAGAAATAATATGTTTCCCTTAATTGTGAGCAAAATGAAGCGTCCAAGATTTCACAGAAATTTTGAGCTAATCAGATGAGTTTATTACTTCTGGCCATAGAGAAAAGGGAAGCAGATAATAACTCATTACTTGTCAGCAAATGTGTGTCCCCCCTCCCCAGAGAATATGATCTGTGTCTGTTTAATATCAATTGAGGGACTATTAATTTTCCAAGCCATATAAAACTCCTATTCATTTGGTTGGATCGTTGTACTGTACTGCTTGGTATCAGTGAGTAGCTAGGGATACATAAACAAATTACTGATGCTATCGCTTCACATGCTTTCAGTAATGTGAATCGTATGATCAAATCAATGCTTTTTGAATGCATTGTCTTCTTCTTCTTCATACCTTCCTTTTACGTCTGACAATGGGGGATGGGATGTTGGGTGCATGAAGGCATTTTTAAAAGTCAGAAAAAAATACACCTACTTAATAACGGCTTTCCTATCTCTTCTGATTAATTAAATGTATTGGTCCCCAGAAAGCGTACTCACTGTCGCATTTAAGTTGTGTGTAGGAGGCAAACAGATGTGCCAGAGCAAAAGTTAAGTGCCCCGCAAGTAGAAATCTCAACCACTTGTTATGTATGTGATGCTATCATCATTTAAACATTCTCTCAGCCTTTAGCAGTTCATAACCTTTAATATTAAGCTGGTATGTATGAGCTGCTGCACATGCCAAACTTAATAATAAAGCAATGGAGAAAAAATAAATAATATATATATATATATATATATATATATATATATATATGTTTTTTCAGAGAGGAATGGTTGCAGATCATCTTCATTGGAAAAAACGAAGGGTCGCATTGTCACGGGACTGGGACAGCAGTGCACTGTTTGGGAGAAAGGAGAGAACTACATTGTTCTACATCTGGAATATTGAAATACTGCCAGGGAACAAATGAAAGAAAGATGAAAAACATTTTATACGGAAGAAATATGTTATCAGAAATCTAGGTTGGTTGAACATTATCAGAGCTAGGGTATGAGAAAAATGTTCTGGATTTAAAGGGACGAGAAAATTAATTTAGAGTTATTCACTGAAGGTAGAATTCAAAGTGAATTTAAAGCGCTTCTATAGGCACCCAGAACACTTCATCTCATTTAAGTGGTCTGGGTGCAGTAACCTTGCCTGCTTAACCCTGCAATAATAAACTGCAATTTTATATATTGGCAGTGAAGTGTCCCATTAAAGGGATGCTTTAAGCACCAGGCCTACTACAACTTAATGTAGTGGTGCAGAAGAGACTATCCCTGCCGCCTCAGTAATGTGAACACTGCCTTCTCTGAGAAAAGGCAATGTTTACATCTCTAATGGTTATCTCTAGTGGTTATCACTCAACAGCCACAAGAAGCCTTTCATGGTGTAATCTGGCTTGCCAAACTTATTTTGCAAATAAACCTATCTGTAAGAGTTAATATATCAGAAAATAAAAGCAAATGGCGATGGGTGAGACAAAACAAGTTCTAATCCCAGATAAAGCCAGCCGGATTCAAAAAGATAAAACAAACTTCTAATGCATCTAAAGTATGTACTGTTAACATGGTGGCTAATTTATTGGTCTTACACAGAAAATTCTCTAAATTAAAAACTAAAGTTCCAGCTTAATGGGAATGAGGGGTAATACCAGCAACAAAGGTTGCATCATTTGGGATGGAATTTGTGCCTACTGCAGATGACACAAGGAGCAGTGGAAGTGCTGTTACACGGACAGAAACACCCTGCTTTGGCAAGGCACACTTGCAAGAATTCAAGGACACCCATTTAATGGTTGGAGCTTTTATTGAGTGTCCTGCTTGAGGAAAAAGAAACAGGAATAGTGGGACCAGGGGGAGCAAATATATCTAAATGGCAAACCAAGGAAATCATCTATAAGGAGAACCAAGTGGATGCATCGTTAGATTGGTTCAATAAATGTCTCATGATGAATGACTCAAGGAAGCAGCTATGTCTCTAGTAGAGAGGTCAGTAACTTTAATAGGTGGCTAGTTCCAGACTAAATATTAAGTCTTGAAACTTAATTCAGTCGGCCAAACTAACATTAGAAGCATGTTGACCCATTGTCAAATGGGTGAAGATTCAAAATGAAGGAAGACACAAGAGCACAAACAGCTTAGACACACATTTGAGAATATATTAAATGGAAAATTACTTCTCCAGGATAAAAAAACATGCATGTCAGGTTTGTACATGGATTCACAATGAAAGTGTTGTAATAAGGTTAGGTTTCTAAACAGTAATTGGTTAATGAATATCATGGTGAATTATCTTCAAAGTCTGAAACATATTTCAAACTCTAAAACCGTTGGCCCAGCTGGGGGCATAATGTACAAGCCTACATCTTGACATCCACACAATATCAATAAATCAAGATCTACATTGCCAATCCCTCTCTCATATTAGAGATTTTCCCTTTTAGCTGAAAGCAGCAGGGTGAATTCTTAACGTGAGACTCAGAAGAGGTTTGCCTTAATATTGGTAAGTGAGCATACCCAATGGATACTGCAATGATACCGAAAACGTCAGTGTTTTTGTTTTGTATTGTCAGTGCATTTGGGCTGCTGTTGAATAGACATTGCTGCTGCCCTTGAACAGTGGGAGTTTGAGCACAGTGCTAATTTCTGTGTTTTTAGGCCAGCATTTAACGTTTAGCCCACTACCCAGAGATGTAATCCATGAGAGCCACTCTGTCACAGTTCTTATATCCACGAGGTCCCCAGAGTATGGGACCTAGGCTGGCACCCCCACTGTCCCCTCCCAAAGAGAGGTCCTGATAATAGGACTTAATGAGAAACACTATTAATCTCTAGAATGCCACATCCACCACAAGTTTTAAATGTTGCAACACACAATTATTTTATTTTCTATTCATTAAAGTACTGTAAACATTTTATCATTACTAAATAATGTATCTCGACATTTTTTGTCAAGACTAATTTATTGTGCAATTTACAAGCAGATCTGCATTAATCCAACGTGCCTTTAACGGCACTGCAACCATTAAGTCACCCAATAAATTCATTACAGCTTGAGCTTGCAAAATCTATAACACTGAACAATGTATATTTGTGATTAATGACAACTATATTCTGAAATTCTGTCATCATATATTTGAAAGACAGAGAGAAGTGAATAGACAAGATTTTTTTTTGTTTAATGAGAAAAAGAACTGAGATATTTATGTGAATCAGTTATCTCTGGCACTGGTGAAATGAAATGCCTATTTATTCCCTATACGCATCCCAGAAGAAAAAAAAAATCCCTGTGGAGCTATCAGTGAAATTAATTTGGTCTAGGTCAGGCATGTGTGAGTGAATCAGGTTTCAAAGGACTTTATTCCAATGTCTCATTCCTGGACTATATTAATAAGCCAATTATGTTCTGAGAAAAAAAAAATGCATTTCCAGATGACAACTTTGCATTCATGTCTTATAGTTAAAGTAAACCCGCCATTCAGGATGACGGTATGCACGTTTACAAGCGGTATTTAATTCTACCTGCTATCAAATGTAAAGACTGCCGGCAAAGAACCTTTAGCCACAGATCTGTCTTTTGATGCTCCTGTATGGCAATTATTGGAGACAGCTTTAAATTATTATTTAGATACCTAGATTACAATAAGGTGGAGGAGAAAATGAATACATGGTGCATTCAAACCACACAGGGTAAAAGAAAAGTGAATTCAAAGTGAATTTAAAATTCAAGGCCGAAATAATGGACTGGGAACATTTTCAAAGTCAGCTATGCTTCTAGATCTGCTATTTTTTATTTAAAGGCATTCTATAGTGTAAGGTACAAATCTGTACTCCTTACACCAGGGGTCCTCAAACTCCGGCCCCCAGATGTTGCTGAACTACAACTCCCATGATTCTCTGGCTATCTATGTAATTCAAAGAATCATGGGAGTTGTAATTCAGCAACATCTGGTGGGCCGGAGTTTGAGGACCCCTGCCTTAGACTTTCGTGCCCTCCCTCGCAGACAACCCATCAGCATGGAAAGGGTTAAAAAAAACCTTTATACACTCACCCGATTCCAGTGTCGATCTTCCCCGGCGTTGGGTTGCCGCTCCGCCTCCTCCGACGTCATCAGATGGGGGTTAATGCGCATGCAAGGATTTTACTGATGGATGTCCTCATGCAGATGTGAGGATGTCCAGCGTCGGTTGAGAGACCAAAAACCGCCTAGCAAGCAGGAAGTACCTCTAGTGGCTGTCTGATTGAACACTGCAGGAACACTGCACCCAGACCACTTCAATGAGCTGAAGTGGTCTGAGTGCCTAAAGTGTCCCTTTAAGTTTGAAATTAAATTTTAAATTACATTGGATATTTGGTAATCTGTAGTCTTGTCATCCAAGTTCAAGTTAGTGGAACATATCTGGCTAGGGCTAACCCACAATGCTTAAAGGGACACTATAGTCACCAGAACAACTACAGCTTGATATAGTGGTTCGGTTGTGTATATACTGTCCCTGCAAGCTTTTAATGTTAACGCCGTTATATTATTATGTAAAACTAATTTAAAAAAATCTATGCACTGAAAAACTACTACTCAGCAGAAAAGAACAAGACTTACTGTATGCCTGTCAGTGTTCTCACACATCACTGTATGCCATGACCCCCGACATTCGGGAGGAATTGGTATGGGTGGACAACCTAGAAAGTGAAACGGTGTATTCAATGCCAGGCTCCTGGGCGACCCTCAACAAAACGGACCATGCAGAAAGCATTGCTGAAGTACTCACTGCATGGTCTTAGTGCCCATGATGTGCTCCCTGGAACTTGTTGTCTTGTGTCCGCAGATGCAGGACACTAGGGCTAAAAGTGTGATTAACCCTAAAATAGGGAACATCTCACTGAAAGTAGAGCATGCTTGTTTAATTTAATGGTAACTGTAATTAGAGATATACATTGTGCTAGCAAATGTATAGATTGGGAGAAATATCTACAAACAAAATAGGTCCCTCCCCACCTGTCAATCAATTATTTAGCACTGACTGACAGGGAGAACAGGAGGACTGCTCTTCAACATAGCAACCACAGGATAGTATGGCTAGGGAGTATATGAACAGAGTAAATGATTTCAGACACTGCTGTGCAGGCAATGCAATGAGAGTGTCAGTATCATGGAAGAAGTTTGTGCTGCCTGGGGAAGGGTCACAACCAGAGCAATCAAAGCACAGGATGGACAGGTCAGAGGTATCAGATGTGGGTGCTCCAGTAATGTAACACCCACTTATCTGCGACCAAGAAAAAAAAAATTATGTTAGTTGTATAATGTATTTCTATGATAAAGTATGAGTTCAATGCATATGTGGATGATTTGAATTAACGTGAACCTGTCATGGCTTTAAACTATTTTTTATTGAAAAGATAAAGATTCAGTATGATATCTGTGGCAAACCTAGCCACTTCATTGTACAAGGACTGGGTCCATTCATTTATTTTTCCGTGTAAAAACTATGTGCATTTGTATGTTAACTTCACGAACAGAATAGGGATGTACTGTTCGTGAAAACGAATAAACTGTCGAATGGAGGGCCACACAAGGGAGTCGTGTGTCTCCAATTAACAACTGGCAACGTAATGAAAACCGCAGAACCCTAATGGTTTAATGGGTGGTTGCTGTTCGTATGAACGAACACGTGGTGGTGGCCATCTTTGCGCACGAACGCCCAGCGGTGTTTGGTCGTCAAATGCATGGAACTAAAATCGGCTACTCAACCTCGCGAACACCGCTGGACTTCCATGCCGTTTGTAAAAATAGACCCGTTCGTAAAAATAGACCCGTTCGTCCAAATGGAGCGGCGTTCGGCTAAATGAAACTAACGACCTTCCTACACACAACTATGCAGAATATTCATGTGTATGTTCGTTTGCTAATTTGTAGGAACTCACGAAAGAAGACCGGTCAAAGCCTACAATTGCCTAGAACTGTTTTGGAGCTCTCGACTCGTGGCTGACCGGTCCATAACTTAATTTGAATGTCTTTTCTTTTCTAACGAACGGATCTGAGCGGTAATTCGACAGATTGTGGAATTCTTTCGTGGAATTCAGACACATATTTTACGAATTATGTATTTTAAACAATATTGTGTAATTTTCTGTACGGAGAGATAATGTAATTAAAGGCATACTCTGACGCAATTATCTCTCCAGTACAGAAAGGGATGATGGGAAATGTAATTGTACACTAAGTTTTCCACACAGTCCACCAGGTGAAAACCCCTGGAATGTCATTAAAGAAACCCCTTGCATGGGGATGTGGTGCAATAAAAGTTCAGTTGACTCCCAAACTGTGTGTCGTCCAGTTGTTGGGAAAAAGATTGGATTGGAACTACTACGCTACTTTGATTTTGCATGCTGACTACGTCTACCAGTGGAGATATCGTGGGTTATACCTCTACTCCGCTACAATATCATTTATGTTATTATTTATCATATTATAAATTCCAGTTTATTTTGTTGTATGTTGTTACAATCTCTTAACGACTCTCCACCGACCAAGTAAAACAAAATAATTGTTTGGTAGATATACCCTCTATGAAAAAATGCATTTATTTAATTATGCATTTTGTTCATTGGAGTTATATCTAAAAACAGATTACAAAATCTCTTGTCTGCAGTCTTTCCAAACCCGCCTATTTCAACCCCGCCCAGACTTTCTGTGGCTGTCCAATCACAGACTTCCCAATGGAGCTCAATGAGAAGTCTTTGCAAGGCACCTGCTTTGAGAAATTGTTGCCTCTTAAGTTTAGTTCTACTGAGCGAACCAAACAAACAAACCAGGAAGTAAAAGGACAGACTGTCTGATTGACAGATGTGGGGGGAGGGATTACAAGGTTAATTTATAAAAGTACCAATTTTTTTATGAAACCTGGAGTTTTTGTAAAATTAAAAAAGAGGATACACTCATCACGCATAAAGTGCTTTAGGGCTCTGGAGCAGCTTTTTTTCCTATGGATAGAGAAATTACATCAACACTTACATACAGCTAATCTTGCTGTTTTTCGATTTCATATGTATGTTCTAATAACTGGCTGTGTGTTTATTTAGTTGAATAAGTCTTATTCCATCCCCCTCCCGCCGGGCTCTAGGGGATGGAAGGGGTTAAATTTACCTGTTTTTCAAGCGCCGGGCGGGGGACTCTCCTCCTCCATTCTCGCGTCATCGGCTGAATGCACATGTGTGGCACGAGCCGCGCGCGCATTCAGGCAGTCCATAGGAAAGCATTGCTTTCCTATGGACGCTGTGAAAATCACAGTGAGAAACGCGGAAGCACCTCTAGCGGCTGTCAATAAGACAGACACTAGAGGCTGGATTAAACCATAGGTAAACATAGCAGTTTCTCTGAAACTGCTATGTTTACAGAAGAAAGGGTTTATCCTAGAGGGACCTGGCACCCAGACCACTTCATTAAGCTGAAGTGGTCTGGGTGCCTATAGTGGTCCTTTAATGAAAAGTACTAATACGCAATCTGACGTTCTTTATAGAAAATATGCATTTATTCTACTTCCAACAGCAAACAATAATATACTTAACAGATGGTATTTCTTAACAACGTTACAGAGAGTCGTCTTTGTATTGTCTTTGACATCAGAGAGGACAGCAAAACGTATTGTAGAAGGAAAAAACATGGTCCTTTGTCCTCTGCCCTTTATAGCCCAAATTACGTCATAACGTTTAGTTTAGAATCTGGCCATATAAGGAAATTCCCCATATAAAGACCACCCCAAATCTCTTACACAGCAAATTCCAGAGACCTCATGGTACAGAATAGCAAATGCCAACTGTTCTGTTTAACCCATTAGACATCCACATCTTAATATGTATTTGAATAGGAACATATAGAATATTCAATATTCTACATATGTTTTAAGAATGATACTTGTATACTCCTAAATGAATATTACTTGTATATTTCAAATCTGTTCTTAAGGTTTAATTTCCAAGAACCAATGATTTCATCTTAACATGCTATACACCATATTTTGTATGTTTTGATCTTCTGCTCTTCCATTTTGTTCCCCTGCATTTAGAGATCCAGCTATGTATATTGAACCATCTTCATCTTAATCCACGGCTGTCTATCTGTGTCTGAATCCAACCTTCATTCAGCTCTTTTTAGAAAAAACTTCTAAATTATTTCACCGGTGCTAAAATATTCTATTTCTAAGGAGAAAGGCTTATGGAGCAGTTTCCTATAACTATAAGAGTGATATACACTAAAGTGAAAATGTAAAGTGAATTTAAAATTCGAGATAAAATTAGCTGAACTGGAAGCATTCTCTAAGGCAGCTATGCTTCCAGTCTAGTTAATTTGGCCTTAAATGTGAAAATCATTTGAATTCTCACTGCAGTGATTATCCCTGTAAAAGTTTGAACATACAAAAATACTTTAGATTAATTCAGTCAAATCCTTTAATCAAATGCATTAAAGTTGTATTGGTAACCAGATAGCTCCCTTGAGCACATTTTATATAATATATGGTGGACTCACCCACAATGATACTTAAAGGAACACTGTAGGCACAATAACATCATGATCTTATTGAAGTTGTTATAGTGCCTTCAGTCATACCCCCAAAACACTATATTTTAATAATTAGAAGGCTTGGAAGCACGGCTTCAAGCGATGCCTCCAAGCCCTCTGGTGATGAGAGCCAGAACTATTATTTCCTGGCTCTCTTACCGTAACCCACAGTGACCTTGCATCCCAATGCTTCTCTTTGAGAAGAATTATATTGTCCAGAAGGTGGAGTAAAGTGCAGTAAGACACAGTCTCGCCCTCGGACTAGAGGTAAGTTAAACCTTTCTTTTTAAAAGACTGCAAGGGGTCCATTAAAAGAACACTCCATTAATAGAACTGAGCAGTGAGACTGCAGGAACATATCGACATACCAAAACTGCTTCATTATGCTAAAGTGCTTTTGGTGCTAAGACTGACCCTTTAATATCTGGTTGAACAGTCATAGAGATGTTTTATAGCACAAAAACAAATTCATGGCTTGGGAGCATTTTTAGGAACACTGGGCAACACCACTATCACTAAAGATTAGCAAGGTTTCTTACACCATTAAAAACTTTTTACTTTTAATAAAGGATAATTAATGCACCTCGTCAGCCAATGTACCAAATCATCTGCCAATATCCTGCCAATGCACTATGGTTAACCTGAGCACTTCTGATGAGGATGAGCACAGATATCATTTCTCAGAAGGCTGAGCATGATGGGAAATGTAGTTCAAAATCAAAATGTGTATATTTTGCCAGCTCTAGTTATAGGGTGTCATCCTGATGTTTCCATCTGTCCCGCTTTTCACAAATGACTTATGCCAATAAAGGAGTAATAAGGAAATCATTATAGCTATGTCTGCCTACAATTTGGGTGGTTTTGTAGGTAATTAACACCCTGCATATAGGATAACACTAAACAAGAATTCAAGCTGCTGCAAAATAGGAAGCATCACCCAGCGAAGAAAAATGCATGAAGGCGTGATGGTTTTCATAATACCAACCATTAGGTCTATCAGGATTCCAATTATCTGCACTGTAATAGGATGTTGGGGGAAGAATGGCACAGCTGCACCAGTCATGCAAGGGAGCAGAGATCTGGACAGTCTCCAAATGTGTTTGAACGTGAAACTCATAAGTCTGGTTTGCTACTAAATAATAAAACCAGTGAACACTCACATTTGGAGATGGACTTGCCTTTTATCATGACATGTGACGGTATAAGGCAGGAACCCGGGAGTACCAAATAATGTGAATCGTACCATTTAAGGAAATCAAATGACTATTCTTAATAATGCTCGAGTATTAGGCACTTAGACGTTTACTATTATCCTTATTCCTAACCAGTAAGACAAAATACTAAAAGAAATAATTAAGCAAAGTGTGTAGGCGCTACAAGTATAAATGAAGGGGTGTATATCAGGTGTATCCTCTTAATCACCTATAGAAGTTTGTCAAGATAAATAAATAAATTATAACTTATATGCATGTTCTTATGTATTCAGTGAGCACTATGTGTTTTCCTGTTTATGTTTTTTAGATCGTTCTGTCTGACCTGAATTCATCATACCGTTTTAGGTATTTCTGTGTGACCCCTTTTGGGGGTGTATTATTTATTTACTTATCAAGACAAAATACTAAACTGAGACAAGAAGGGTCCTAATTTTTGGAAAATAATGCTAAATGCTTCTTATTCCCAAATATATTTTCTGAACTAAGATAAAATAAAAAACACGATAACAAAAATGAATCACAAAGCATAATAAAAGTGTCTGTTTCTAGTTACAAATTAAAAATGTAAATTCATTTATGGGATGCAATGTTATTTTTGTCTTATTTGTTTATTTTCTCTCTCCCTCGTTCCCTTTCTTTCTCTCTTTGTAAAAATATAATTGTATAGGTATTTGGTACTAGTTAGATTGACCACGGCTGATCATTTAATGACCACAGGTAAAATTCTGAAACTGCTAAAGATCTCTGGTTTAAGCAAGCAACGAGGAAAGAAAAGAGAGAGTAAGCCTGTGTTTACTGTGTAGAAGCTAGGGACACATGCTTTAAGTTGCTAATCCTTGAAGCTGAAAGGATTCCATATATACAGGTCAACTGCTGTCTGAAATACCTCTGTCTAGTTGCCTTCACAACTAAGATGGCAGACTGCCATGCAGATTGCATGCAACAAGTCACAGTATTCCTTGAAGTCATGGACTTGGAATGCTGAATACAGTTTGAAGATGGTACTTTGCTAATTCTGCTAGTAAAGAGATGGACCACATAAATGATAGCTTATATTGATATATTAATAGTTAAAGGGACATATTAAGCACCATAACAACTACAGCTTATTGTGATGGATGGTACAAGTAGCTTATGAGCACAGTGCTCCAGTTTTGATGAAACTGTGCTCAGGAGTGCACAAAAACATTAGGATGTCCTGGCACCAAATCCCCCCTCTCTGCTTTAGAAGTAATAAAAGGACATTTCACTTTGCTGTATATCTGTCCAAAATATTTGCAGGGGTAAGCAGGATTTGGCTCTGCTGAATGGCCACTAACTCTTTCAGTGCCAAAATACGCACAGGCTCACAGGAAACCTGTGTCAGTTTTGCACCGTTCAAAGGGATAGTAAATATGCAATGCAGACATGGAAACCTTTGGATATGAGGAAATACCCCGAGTTTTCTTGAAAATATTCCAAAGGGACTGAGCCCATAGCCCTTTTGCTTCATAACCACTACGTGGCAATCTTTAGAACAGCTGAAGTTGGTATTCATAAACCGTACACCTATTGTGTAAAAGAGCTCCTTGTTTTCCTTCATTGAGATACTGCGACCATTTTTGTAAAGACATTTCGTAACACGTTATTTGAAAAGATCCGCTGTGTATCAGACTATTGTGCATCTGACAGCCATTGTTTTGGTGCGCAGCAGTGAAACGTCTGCCTTGGCATCTGCTGTTTTCTTGATTAGATGCTTCTCTCCCTTTGGCTAAATAAGATGGTCATAAGGGCTGCTTCGTCTTTCATTCTTTCTTCGCTTACATTTATATTCAGTCTGTGCAGACAGAATGTGAGAAACGCTTCTTAACATAAATGCCATCCTTCATGGTATAATAAGGGCTGCATGTTTTGTTATTATTTTAGACCTGTCTGTGATCGTGACTGCTTGTATTCATTCCGAGTGACTGAACAGATATTTATTGTGTTTGAAGAGCTATCTCATACAGATTTTTTTTTTATTTGAACGCAAAAGTAAATTCCTTCTTATGACTGCCATCTACTGTTAAAGGAATTGTTCATATTGGATTGGTTAAAATCAGATCTATGGCTATAAAATTTAAGCAAGTGCATTAAAAATGAATACTACTGATACAATTACTGTAGAATTCCAATATTCTAAGATATATTCGTGTTATATTTATTAGCAGCTATATAGCACCAAGAACCAATTTCATATATCCCAACACTGAGAGGTATAATTGCAGGATAGTAGTGGGACTATATGCTTCAATTGTCAGGTTGCAAGGGGCCAAGTAGCCTTGTCAGCTTGGGGTGCATGCATATATCTGAAGCGTCCCTGTTCCTGGCAGATCTGAAGAGGTTCCACCAGGTGAAGATGCCAATGGCCACTAGGGAAAGCTTACTCTGGACCCCCGGGGCACTGCACTGTAAGCGGCGATGTCACCATCTGTGGTCTTTTTTGTTTCTGTTTATGCTGCCCTAGTCACACCTCCCCTGGCTGTGACTCACAGAGTCTTCATGAAAAAAAAATGTTTCATTTTGAATCAGATGTTAAAATACTTTAGAAGTTTTTATCACCAGCTTTGCTGATTGAACCTGAATCACAGGAAGTTCCTGCAGGCTATTAACAGAGCATAAGATAATACACTCTAAATCAGACAGACCATATAATAAAGGACGTTTAAACATTAGATCTCTCTTTACAAGAAGTGTTTAAAAAGATTGTGTAAGTCACAGCAGGGAGGTGTGAGTAGGGCTGTATAAACAAAGTGAAAACTCCTAAATGGCAGAGAATTTTTTTGAAGTTGAGTATATTAGTCTGAAAGGGACACTTTAGTCACCAGGACAGCTTATTGTATGTTCTGGTGACTATAATCATACCCTTCAGGCTTTTTGCGGTAAACATTGTCTTTTCTGAGAAAATGCAGTGTTTACATTACAACCTAGTGGTAACTCCACTGGCCACTCCTCGATGGCTACTAGAGGTGCCTCCTGGGGCAGTGTTGCACAATGTGTGTATATTTAGGGGGGCAAGACAGGCCAGGGGGGCTAGATGGTGTTTTAAACGCAAAAGGGTCAGGAATACATGTTTTTGTTCCTGACCGTGTACTGTTCCTTTAAATTTAAAATTTACTTTAAATTCCCGACAATTCTCACTTTAGTAAATACTGCAATGCTGTGCATGGAGAGATTTTCTATTCTAACGACAACACGTTATACAGAATTATTCAGCTAGGATCATAAATGGAAATATGGCCATCTATCCACACAAGAGTAAAGAAATCACACTACTGATGAAGACATTTAAAATAAATAAATATAACAGTGCAACAGAATACTACACCACTTTCAGAGGGATGCTACAGATTGCTCAGCCCTGTCACTTGCTGTAGCATCTGGATCACATCTTATAATGAAAGACTCACATTGTTTGTTTGCAAAAATATCAAAATATAAATGTAGAATATATATATAGAAATAACTACTTACTTGAAAACATTTTTCTTTTTTTGCTTCATGTAGCATTTCTGCCAGTCCCGGCAGTAAAACTGGAAATATGTAATGTTCCAAAAATTTTCTTGGAGAACCTAAATCATGTGAGATACAGATATCAATAATGTGTGGCCTCTTGAACACACACAAATATCACAATGTGTCATGTCTTTGGTTAGACATTTTGAGATTCTAATTTTTTTTACTAGTGTGATACTAATTGCAGCAGACTTTCCAAATCGTGTTTGTAAGCGATACAGCAGTGTGAAGATTTAAAAAAAAATCTACTTGCCCAAAGGAATAAAGTGGTAGCCCAACCTATTTGTCCTGACACACAAAATTATTTCAGACTGGTGACCCTGCCTAGAGTTCTGAACATTGACATGGTTAAATCCGAATGTGTAAAAAGAAAAAAAAAAAGCTGATATGTTCTAATTCTTCCAACTCACCTAAGTCTGTTGTGGTTATAGTACTTGGACTGTTATTATCTCTTACTCTGATAACATTGTTTGTTATTTTTAAGTTGTTTGACCAGATACACATGAAGTCAGGATGGGGAGGGGAGGAGGTTTATATGGTGTTACCAGTGATGCAGCTTGTGCCAATGGAGACACCGAAAGAGGCAGGATGGCCCAAGAAAAAAAGGTGAGCACAAGCCAGCCCCACTCCAGACTAAATATGCTGGAAACAATTCCCTGCTGTCCCCAGATAGGACAACAACTCAAAGACACTGTGACAAGAACACAAATCAGGACAGTCTTGCGGAACTCAGGACTGATGGGAATCACGCAAAACCAGGTATGAAAACAAAATAACAAATAATGTAATGTGGTCATAATATGCAGCGATCAACGGCATTTTATAATGTATAGTGGATCTATTTCTTGGGGAAAAAAGTAAAAACAAATAAAATCTTTATCAAATACTCACATTGACTGCTTTGATTTTTATTGAAATTCCAACCCAGTCAAAAGGTATACCAAGATAAAGTAGGTACACTTGTGACGGCTGAGGGGAAAAAGACTCCGTGTATGGAGTATCCCACGATGTCGGAAGATCCTCAATAGACCTCCGTGTTGTGTTTTCCTGCATGTGTGAGAGTACAACACTGACATCGGCTCCTGGCAGCTGAAGAAGATGGAGGTGGCTGAAAGTGTAACTCACCTTCCTTTGTATTCCACAGCCACAGCACTGCTAACTGAGCAGTCACCATCTGGGGTCTTTGCAAATTATGACAAGACTTCAGATAATGACATAGCCGCTTTAATAGAGGAAACACACTGACACTTTTTTTTTTAATTAAAACAAATAGAAAAACAATCATATATATATATATATTATTATTATTATTATTATTGCCTTTTAAATAGTGCCAACAGATTCCGTAGCGCTTTACAATATTATAAGAGGGGGGGTTTAGCTATAAATAGGATAAATATATATATGTAATAACACATCGGCATTTAAAAGCTCAAACATATCCAGTTCTATCGTTCAAACTAGTACAACATAAAGATACAAGTATATATTTTTTTCTTACAAGTGAATCGTATTATACTTACATGTCTTTAAGTCAGGGTGTTGTGCAGAATCATTTGTACATTTATCAAATTCTTTATTTAAATATTCATTGTCTTCAATCTGCATATTGACACAAAAAAACAACATATACAGTCAATAGGTCTGTAGGACCTAAACAAAAGGGAATTTTAAACAGAGCTGTTAGAAACAGTTTTGGGTAACAGGCAATATAAAAAAAATTACCACTGAGGTGCAGTTTTCAGACAACGCAGTGGGATCTGTTTACAGCTTGTCACACCACTAATCCATACATGGTGGGTGTTCTAGAGTGTTGTTTCCACAATCTGCAGAGGAAGTAAAGTCCTACACATCCAAGGGAACCTGCTTCATTTTAGCTATAAGGAGTATCCTTCTCTGATGGGTGATTCGGGGAACCAACTGACACCTGTCCTCGCACCCTCCTCCTTTGTTGAGAGGTTAAACTGTTGTAGAATGGTTTAACTTCTTACCTGGTGCCAGGCGCCTCCACTACAGCTATTGGAGAGCTGGAAGCTCTATTTCTGAACTGATCCCAGTGGTTTAGGGCAGTCACAGTACCTACCCACTCGTGACTTCTCCACAAGCCTCCGAATCACTTTGGCATCCACCACTCTAGTGTCAATTCTGATAACGAACGATGCGTCTTTGTGCCAGTTTATGACACAGTGTCCATGCGTTGAAAAAATACTGCACTGTATGTGTCACTATGTCCTTATCGACGCTCACATCTGCTTTTGTCGTGTGGTAATGATGCAAAAAGGATAATGTCCCTAACTCCTATAAAAGCCTAATTTTAAACGAGTGGCCAATGCCCTCTTGTGATCTCTGTAGCACCCAAAAGCACATTCCTGGTTTATAGCGGTAAACTGGTATTATGACCTGACTTGCCTTGATTATCCTGCTCCCTGTAATTTTCTGATGTGGCTCTGACGCTCGATTAAATGTACCTCTCCTGTACTAAAACTCGCCTTACTCTGGCTATTATTTTGGCTTTTTTTGCATTACGCCCATCTCACTCCTTTGCTATACTTATATATATATAGGTTAGATGTTGGTTCACGTTCTGCCATAACAAGCGTTTAGCTCACAGGATGAAATAGGCTAGGTCCTCAGCAGAAAGCTCTCCTCTTGTTGTAGTGAGAAATGGAGCTCTCACACAGCGTTGGTTATTATCCCTGTATGGCTCCTTTAAAAGTAGCATATTGCTTAGAAACTCTTAAATGGACACATGACTTACCATAACCACTACAGATTACTGTAGTAGTTATGGAACAAAGAGTCTTTGGCACTATCCCTCCGCTTTTTATCTAACTGTTCTCAAGCAATTCTGCCAAACACCAGGCTCACCTGAGACCATCCACATCAAGCCATTCAACCCTGGACTACAAAGATAAGTGGCGAATATATATTTATACATAAGCGACTGTCTTAAGCATTAGCATTTAGTTCTGGAAAGTCTAGGAAAAATATGCACTCCAGTTTACTCCATTACATTGGATGTATCTTTTTACAAGATAAAGGTCCCAAGGTCTTTTTAAGTCAAACTATAGTATCTATAGCACCACAGTACATAAAATAAGCACATGATCATATAAAAAAATATATATATATTCAGTGTTGCTACATTTCTCAGGTTACATTCAGAAAAACATCAGCCTAAAAGCACACATTTACATCTGTTCATGAGTCACAGTTCTCCGGAAGCAACAATTTGCTATCTTTTATACAAATACACGAAAAGGGATACAGTGCGTCAGTGACCGTAGGATGAAAATAATATAGGCCATGCTGAGTATGTATAAACATGCTTACTTACAGACATGATCGACTTAGTTTCAGGCCTAACTCCTCGTGGTAAAGGGGGCTGTTCTAGCTCGTATTCTGCAGGAACAGACAAGGATACAGTGAGACAAAGTAATCTTTATGACAGCTAGCACAGTCAATGCTAAATTCAGAGATAATATTAAGATTAGATTCAAAACTGCCATTCAGTTGTTTGATAAAAATAATTACCGTAGATGCACATTCAGAGATTTGCCATGAATGCAAAAACGTAAAGGGACACTCTAGGTACCAAAACTACTACATCATAATGTAGTGCCTCCTTTCTTTGACAATGTAAAAAATTGAATTTTCCGCTGGCACTTGTCATGGCCAATGCCTCTCATGCAGTGATACCTCCGTATCAACAGTTTTACCGCAGTTTCCCCTAACCATGGTTGCACACTGCACACGATTAATTCTCTCTAGCTATCGCATTTCTATAGTGCCAAACTGATTAATTAAACTTTATCATCGTGTACAGTATTATATACAGTACTGTACGTGATGAAAACGTTTTATTTATAAACTTCCATAAATTTTTACTACTTACGCTACTTGTATACATGTACACATTGTGTACATAACTATCCACAGTTTATGGCAGCCGTGGGGGTGGGAAGGGCTTGGTATGTATGCCCGTTGAATACCAGGGCCTAGTGTATTGGATTAGCGGATCGCAGAATTTGTGTGCATGCACCGTATGTCCAAAAGGCTTCTCTATGACAAGCATTTGACTGGAAAGAGATTATCTCACAGAAGGCAGATGAGGCGAGACAGTCTTGGCTCATAAATACAGGTACTTTTAAATGCTTTTTAACAAAGGAAGTTAGTAATTGTATGCATCTGACTTTAAAGGAACACTATAGGGTCAGGAACACAAACATGTATTCCTGACCCTATAGTGTTAAAAACACCATCTAGCCTTCTGCCCCTCCCGCCCTCCTATCCCCCTAACTTTATTCAAGACTGCTAATGCTGGTTCTGCCCCTGATCTGCCTGCTTGGCTGACATCACAAGTGATGTTCTGAGTCAATCACAATGCTTTCCAATAGAAAAACATTGGATTGGCTAAGCTTGTCAAGGAGGCAGATCACGGGCAGAGTCAGCACATGCTAAACACAGTCCTGGCCAATCAGCATCTCCACATAGAGATGCAGTAAATCAATGCATCTCTGTAAGGAAAGTTCAATGTCTCCATGCAGAGGGTGGATACACTGAATGGCAGTGCTGCACACTATAGCCTAATGCACACTTGTGCAATAATCATGCTGTCTAATAAGTATCTTGATATGCCACACCTGTGAGGTGGATGGATTATCTTGGCAAAGGAGAAGTGCTCACTAACACAGATGTAGACAGTTTTATGAACAATATTTGAGAGAAATAGACCTTTTGTGTACATACAAAAGTCTTAGATCTTTGAGTTCATCTCATGAAAAATGGGGGCAAAAACAAACGTGTTGCACTTATAATTTTGTCCAGTGTATATATATATATATATATATATATATATATATATTTATATATATATATATATATATATTTATTTTATTTTTTAATTTAGCGTGTTCCTTTCATTTGGGAAAAATGTAAATACGCTTAAAAACCCCCCATAATGTTACTCATTCACAAAGCATGTGAGTTTAGACATTAATCAAGCATCTTACTGGCCATAAATGTGTCGATCACATGCCTATTCATGCGATTTTGTTTGTCTGTTTTTTGTTTAAATAATAAGTCATGATTAGTATAATACAGTAGTTCGACCTTAATTCCTAAACTAATTAGCATTGTCCAGGAAGAAAATATTTTAACAGGTGGGATATTGAAGCAATATCCTCAAAATACATTAGATGATAATAATGCATTTCAAAGAAAAGAAAGCATCCCTCCTTGCAAGCCTTTCCTGTTTGTTTGTGATGCACTTATGTTGACATTTAATTTACTAGTTTAAAATATGTGTACAGGTAAACAGGATTTGGCTGTGCTGAAATATGCTTAAACAGTGATGTCAAATTAACACAGACTTAATATGAATGTAGAGGGTTAATGGCTCTTTATCACCTTCTATACTAGGTCACAAGATGATAGTTTTTCAGGTGATCGTCCCCTAGTAGAGATTTGTGTGCACTGAAGCCTTTGTCTAACTCCAAGAGAACAAAGGGATAATATTGTAGGTACAAATGACTCTTAGCGTGCCTCCAAGAACCAAGCTGGTTGATTTTAATTACATGAAATGCTACTCACCATAGAATCCAAACAAGTCAGTGCTTTCACAAAAACATCACTTAAAGGGCAATCCAAGCACCATAACCACTATATCAGTATGCCCCAGAGGCCATGTCAAAGGATTTTTGAGCGGTCTGACAACACCTGGTGGCCCCTGGGTGCCTGTGCATCTCTCAATATGTTATTATAGGAGCTACATTTCTGCATTGGCAAAATGAATGCTATTTATATGTGAATGGCATTCACAGTCTGACTGAGCACATCAGCCAATGAGTGCACTCATTAAATGTCTACTCTATGAGGAACATTAGATTGGACCATTACAGAGAGAGTGATGCCTCCAGGATGATGTCATGAGAGACAGAGCAAGCAGAAGCACAGAAAGAGTTTTAGCGCTAGTAAAAATAAAAATGTAAGTAAAATCTTTTTCTTCTTAAAGGGACACTACTGTATAGTCACCAGAACAACTACAGCTTAATGAGATTGCTTTTTTTGGGAGCATTATCGTTATAACTGTTTTAAAGAATATTGGTCTCTGAGGAAGTCCCACAAGTGGGACGAAACACGTTAGACCAGATTTCCTTTTTATTGCTTTTTATATACTACCAATAAAACCTCTTTTCAAACTTATCTACCTGTCGGAGTCCTACATGGTTCCTAATACTGGGTGATACCTGATAATAAGAGGGAGATACTAGACCCCAAAGAGAACGGGGAAGGCACCATTAGAGCGCATACTACTTCTAATTCTTGTGAGTGCAACCTTTAGCAGGGAATATTATATTTCCAAAACTATATTATGCTATGTTTTTTTTTATTTATTGTTTTTTAGGTTTACCAGCTGAATCCCACATGTATTGTATTTTGTGGCTTGTTTAGACAAAACACTATTTGGGAGGTGTTCGGTGGGAAGCTGTTTCAGTTTTACTGAAAAGTATATGTTTTTATATTTGTTGTTTTTTTTCTTTGTTATATTTTATTGAGTAAAATCATCGCCTGCAGGCATTTTAATGCAAACACTGCCTTTTCAGAGAAAAGGCAGTGTTTACATTGCACCCTAGGGACCCCTCCAAGTGGCCACTACTTAGAAGGCCACTGGAGGGGCTTCCTAGCTCAGTGCTGCACTGCCATTCAGTGTCCCCGCGCTCTGCATGGGGACGCTGAATTTTCCTTATAGAGATGCACTGATTCAATGCATCTCTATGAGGAGGTGCAGATGAGCTAAAACAGCGTTTGGCTCCGCCTCCACGCCGATTTCAGCCAATCCAATGCTCTCCCTATGGGAAAGCATTGGATTGGCTAAAAATCGGTAATTCAGATGATGTCACCAAGGAGGCGGATCGAGGGCGCAAGCAGAGTCCGCAGATCCGCACGGCGCTAGAAATAAGGCAAGTTTTCACCTTTTCTATTGGGATAAGGTGGGGAAAGCCACCTAAATGGTTGGTTAAACACTATAGGGCCAGGAATACATGTTTGTGTTCCTGACCCTATAGTGTGCCTTTAAACTATTTTTATTGCAGTTGGGAGGGTCTAATCGACATTGGGACTAGGTTTGTATTCCTAACACTATAGTGCTCCTTTAACTACATTTCTTTAAATAGTCATAATATATGTTTTAATTAGATGACCTGACACTAAAGTTAAGTGTGTTAACTATATCACCTTACTCAATATCATTTGTCTTTCTTTGTCCTAATGTTCTACAGACACACATTTTCAAATGTCTTTTACAGGAAAATGAACTGAGGAAAAAACAGTTTGGAATTGTGAATCTGGAAAGATGGCCAAGCAGAGCCTTGAAACATGTCATTTGTATTATGTAACTGCCACAAGCTATCCTGATTCCAGATTGGACAACACTGGTTTGGTGCCAGAAACAAAACCATTCAATAAACAGTTTCTCATCCAGAACAAGCCTTGTATTTGTTTGGAGATATGCAGCTGCACTGATCTTCATGGGCCGAGAAGATAACATTCTGCAGCTGTAAGTAAGGGTACTATCAACATTTCTGCTGTGTACGTGTTTATTGGAAGGGCACACATGGTACAGGCAAATTTAGCATCACTAAGGATAACTGGTTAAGGGTTAACAATGTGTTTAACTGTGTCTTATGACTAAAATACATTTTGGATTTGTAGTGACAAACTGAAAGCCAAGCAGTGCAGTTAAAGGAATACGTCACACGAAAATATAAAAATAATTTATAAATCACTGTTTAGTAGCTATACCCCCAATTAATATATGCCTGCATTTATTTATGCATGTAATCACTGGGGTAAATCGAAAAAGAGCTAACAAAGGCTGCAGTTCTTAAGTCTGCAGCCGTTGCAAGCCTTCCCCTTTTTTTCCCAGAAGAGACTGCAGGAAAATAACAAATCAGGGGCTTCTTATTGAATCTGTGCCCTATGTACACGTTTGTCTGCTCTTGCACATGTGCGGTTATTGTCAGGAAGGACGCTGGTCTGACCTGGGGTCTGTAGAGGACCACGCACCAGCAGACGCACAGTTGGCTGGGTGACTATAATACAATAGGGGAGAAGACTTTGGCGCTAATGTCTAAAGTGTGTGGACTGGTCCTTTAAAGGTTTACTCCGTGCATCATAATCACTATAGTCCGTCTGGAGGACCGTGGAGCCATTCCCTGGTAATGGGGCAAACTATTTTGCAATGGTCTTATCTGTGTGCCAGCTCTCCTCTGCAGCAGCCTCAATGCCATCTGGCTTCTGCAGAGCTTAAAGGACCAAAAATATTTTTTAAATATTGACTTCAATTTAATTTTGTTGAATAAGCTTCCCAAATGACTTCATATTTTTATATACAAATTATAAACTATTATTTCAACATATTAAAATATCAAAACATATATCATATTTAATAAAATAAATCAAAATATTGAAAAGAAATTGTATTTTCCATGATATCAAATCATTTTAAAGGTTTATCCAAAAATATGAAAATCTGAAAAATATGAAAAATTAAATTGAGGCCATAGTCAGTGATTATTCATGGAACTCAGAATTGTAGCAAACTGAAGTCTAAATGAAAAATTCCAGCTAAAATAGCCGAGCTGTGAATGGAGAATGTTTCCGGGTCAGCTTATTTAGCCTACATTTTGCCATTTGGATTACAATTTTCTTCACTTTGGAGTATAGTGATTCAAACCCTGATGTGTCAATTCACAGAATATACAGAAAATATAGGTACATTTAAAGGAACACTCCAAACAGCAGCAGCACTTTGTCACACTGAAGTGCTTTATGTGTGAAGAGTGTGTTCTTTATGCATTTTCCCAAAAGTGAAGATTTCTAAAGCAGGTGGTACATTTATAAATTAACCTTATTTATGTTTTCCTGGCTTTCAATCCTGTTACTTCCTGGTTTGTTTAGATCGGAGCACCTGCCTTGCAAAGACTTCTCATTGAGCTGCATTGGAGGCCTGTGATTGGACAGCCACAGAAAGTCGGGGTTGGAGAAGTTAGGAGGACTATTTTTGCTTATTTTATATGTAGAGTAGGTAATAAAAGATTGAGTTTTGATCACATGCATCAAGTATGAGAACAAGGAGGAAGACGGCAATTTACAACTCCACTGTAGAGATGCAGAGGCAACAACGAGGCCCTGATAGAGATTATTTTTTTGTGAAAAACAGCACTAAAACTAGTGGTAATAAAGTGGGACTTTATTCAATTTTTTGTAATTCAAAATAAATGTTAAAGTGACCCTTTGGGCACCTATACAATTTTAATGCATTTTATACATGTTGGCCCCATTAATATGCTGTATTTGTGCATGATCAGATGATTAGTTGTTGCCTGCACCCGTAGCTATGCCCCGTCATGACAGAGAGAATGTATTTTTACATGTATGCACGCAGTCTCAGCCCCAACAGCACCTAGTGAGCAAATTTTAAATCACATCCTGTGTAGACAGTCAGATAAGCTACATACAGGAAGAGATATCCTTACTATTTGTTTGCCTGGGTGTCCTTCAAATGCAGGTTGTTTTGTTGTTCAGATCATTGGCAGAGCTGTGTGCATACATCTGATAAGAACAGGGCTGGTGCAAGGGCATTTGCCACCTTAGGCAAAAAAAAATTTGCTGCCCCATTTGCTCCACCCACTCATGCAGACTGACATACACTGACCCAAGCAGACTGACACAGACACAAGCACTGACCCATGCGGACTGACACACACACACACACACATACTGACCCATGCGGACTGAAGCACATGTACTGACCCATGCGGACTGAAGCACACATACTGACCCATGCAGACTGACGCACACATACTGACCCATGCAAACTGACGCACACACACACACACTGATGAATGCAGACTGACGCGCGCACACACTGACCCATGCAGACACACACATACACACTGACTCATGCCTCTTACCTTTATTGCATGTATGACTTTGCTTTTCGTGTGTTCCTGGCAGCTTCACTGTGCCTGGTTGCCTTCACTCCATGTTAGCCTTGCCCCTGCTATGCTCCTGCCCACTTGTCCCCACATACAGGTCAAGAGCGAGACACTGAAGTGGGGGGCCTGGCTGAGCAGGATGCTGCCGGACCAGTGTTATACCGGGCGCTAGTCAGCAGCTATGTAAGTGCTCCCTAGCGCCCGGTAACATGGCCGGCGGCACGATTTGTATAATTACTCCAACATAGAGGGGCAGCCAAAAGAGCAGTGTAGTAAAGCTACTGCCGGCGCCCCCCCTATAATCAGTGCCCTAGGTGGCAGCCCTGGATAAGAAAACCTTTTTCTGGAGTGAGGGGTAGGATTATGGGACTTATAGGCCTTTTTTTTTATACAAAAGCTATAAAGATTCAGCATGCAAAAATACAGTATATTAATGAGGTCAAAACCAAATGCATTAAAGGAACACTATAGGGTCAGGAACTCAAACATGCATTATTAACCCTATCGTGTTAAAACTACCATATAGGTGACTTGTCCCATTTAATAGTTAAGAAAATTTACCTTAATCCCAGCACCGAACAGGTCTGCCGGCGCTGGCCCCTCCCCCGATCCGTCTCCTTGGCAGACATCATCAGAATTTCCCATAGGAAAAGCATTGGATTGGCTGAGATCTTCAAGGAAGCCTGGCCAATCAGCATCTCCTCATAGAGATGCACTGAATCAATACATCTCTATGTGGAATGTTCAGCGTCTCCATGCAGAGTATGTCTGAGGATTGGCCACTGGAGGTGTCCCTAGGGACCAATGTAAACTCTGCCTTTTCTCATCATTGATCTGTAGTTGTTCTAGTGACTATACTGTCCTTTTGAAGTTGTATTGGTCCCGGAGTGTCCCTTTAATGCAAGTATACATGTGTACACATTGTTGGGAGGGAATTGGTTAACCTTTTAATGACATGCAGGCTTGCAACTTCTGCTATTTATTTTGCCAGATACTTATATAGAAACTACATGAGGTTGCCAAGCATGTGTACAGTGCTGTCCAGTATCATATAGCACCCATATGCTCATGCTTTCAGAGATTAATGATATAATCACAGCACGGAACTCATGCACCATGATTAATAAGTACATTTTTCCCTTGACCATATGCATACTTAATACCGCCAGAAGACACTTTACATGTGCCAGCCTGCAACTTTTGAAAGTCATATGTGTCCAGTAAAAGAATGCTGAGGTGATAACTTTATGGTGAGGGCTAGTGATGTCCCGAACGGTTTGCGAACGGTTCGCCACGGACTCATCATTGAGTAAACTTTGACCCTGTACCTCACAGTCAGCAGACACATTCCAGCCAATCAGCAGCAGACCCTCCCTCCCAGACCCTCCACCTCCTGGACAGCATCCATTTTACATTCATTGTGAAGCTGCATTCTTAGTGAGCTGTCCAGGAGGTGGGAGGGTCTGCTGCTGATTGGCTGGAATGTGTCTGCTGACTGTGAGGTACAGGGTCAAAGTTTACTCAATGATGAGTCCGCGGCGAACCTTTCGCGGCGAACCGTTCGGGACATCACTAGTGAGGGCCTATCTGTAGCTGAATGTTTAACGTTAAAGGGACACTATAGTCAACAGCTTAATGTAATGGTTCTCGTGTCTCAAGCCCGTACCTGTCTTGTTTATATTGCTGGCTAGTAACATCTCAAGTACGCTCTGCATGGAGGCGCTGAACATTCCCCATAGAGATGCATTTAAAATAGGGAATTACAGTTGCCTGGTAATCACTCATTTCACATGTAGTGCCTAGTTTTTTTTTAAGGAGAAACTCCAAAGATATATCAACACTTATGTAGTATATTAATTATAAGACTAAAATAAATTATTTGAGCTTAATTCAATAATAATAATTCTAGCCCACATTTAAAGGGAAACTATAGTGCAAGGAAAACAAAGTTGTTTTCCTGGCACTGTAGCTCCATACAGTGCCCCCATATGTCAAGCACCCTTTCCCTCCTCCCCCGTAGTGCTGAAGGGGTTAAAAAACCCTTATGTAACTTACCTGAGTCCAGGTCCCTCGGTGCTGGCTCGGGCTCCATCTGACGTCTGCCGGTGGGGTGGGGGACCTAATGCACTGTAGACAGTTTTGTCCGGTTTAGGGACATCAACAGGGACTTACCTTCACCATTGGCAATATACAAATTAATATATTTGTAGTTTGTATTCATTTGTATATTGTCACTGTTAAAGCATTGGACGACTAGTGGTAATTGTATTACTACACCTGCTGTTTTTAACTTAAATTGGATTATCACTAGTGATGTCCCGAACTGTTCGCCGACAATGTAAACTTTGACCCTGTACCTCACAGTCAGCAGACACATTCCAGCCAATCAGCAGCAGACCCTCCCTCCCAGACCCTCCCACCTCCTGGACAGCATCCATTGTGAAGCTGCATTCTTAGTGAGCTGTCCAGGAGGTGGGAGGGTCTGGGAGGGAGGGTCTGCTGCTGATTGGCTGGAATGTGTCTGCTGACTGTGAGGTACAAGGTTAAAGTTTACTCAATGATGAGTCTGCAGCGAACCGTTTGTGGCGAACAGTTCGGGACATCACTAATTATCACCCATCATTGCTGAGAGTTAATGGTGATTTGGAGAAGAGGATCCTTGGATGGAAAAAATTATACAAGGTATTGTTGCAACCTACAAATTGTGAGTGGTCAATTGGCATACATATATTTGGCACTTTATCAACACATTCTTTTTTTTAGCAGAATATTCCCCTACTTCTACATGTATAACTGTTTGGAAGAGATGAAGTCTTTGGAGTATCTGAACTTTTCTTCTTACAGGGAAGTTATTTTTTTACTTTATTCGTTCTTTCATTATAAGCGCCTCGGTTTGTAGACACACACACATGGTTTTTCCATATTGCACACTATACCCTACACTACAGCTCCTGTCTTCCCCTCAATACACACACACACACACAACAGTCCCTATCATCCACAATCTCCAACCAAACCCCTGCACACTCCAGCCCTTATACACATGCACTACAATACCAATTTCCCCACAGACAGTTTTCTTCCCAGAGTATAGCCCATATGCCCCAAATGCATCCTACTGCCCCTACCCCTCCATCTACACCCTAGTATCCCTATTGCCCCAAACACACCCTACAGTCCATATGCCCAACAATACCCACTACAATCCCTATCTACATACAGCCCGTATTTACATGCACAAACATAAACCACACAGCAAACAGACCCACCGTCACACACAACTGCACAACAACCTCCCTCTCACACATGCAACCATACAAGCATTATTCCCTCCACACACGCAACTACACAAGCAGCATATCTCCAATATATATATATACTTCAGGGGGTGCATAGAGGAAACTGACTTATGATATATCTAGCCATGGAATCCGAATGACTAAATTTAGGCTAAAATAGCCACGTGTGACTACAGCCAATTTGGAGAATTATTTCAGATCACCTATATTTGCCTAGAATTTGCCATTTGGATTTCAACTCTGTATATTTCAAGTTTAAGCGAATAAACACCTTAATGTATCTGCACAACACTGTCAGTGGTAGATAACTATGGAAGAGAAAAAACCTGTTGGAATATACAAAGAAGAAAGGAAACACATTTCTGATGACATTTGAAACAATTTAATCAATTGGAAAATTCTGAACCCGCTACTCAATAGACCCAAACACTCTTCAGAACACTCTGTTAAAGGAACACACTAGTACACCTCAGTGATCAAACCCATGGTAAGTAGTCAAATAGTTTTAGAACGTTTGATGTCAGATGTTTGATGTCGCTCCCTGCCTCCACTACTTCCAACAGAGAGCAGGAATTTGAGCTTCTACTATGGAGCTTCTGGCTCTCTACCAAAAAGTCTACCCACGTAAAAAGTCAAACTATTCTAAACCAGTTTTACCTCTTACATGTGGGGGTGCCATGACACTCCTGGAACCATAACCACTACACATAGCTATGGTAGTTACAGTGCTTCGAGTGTTGTTTTAAATTAAAATATCACGTCTTCATCTGCCTAGTGCACAACATGCTACATTTACTACTAACACAGGCTGAAATATAGAGTCGCCACCATAATTTCCTAGACAAATTGTTGAATGCAGTATATAAATGTTGCAGCATGGACAGCCAACCCATTAATTAATGGACCCTGCTTCAAAGTGGCACTGTCACCATCTGGGGACTTTGCCGAATTAGTCAACACCCCCGAAAGTGACATCGCCGCTGGGGATCCAGGGGCAGACTAGGGGTAGTGGGGGCAGGTAAAGGTGATATCTACTTCCCTGAACCCGTCCCTCGCAGGCGCTGCCATCTTCCTTCAGTGGGTCCTATGCAGCATGCGCAAGAAGTCTATGGCAGATCCCGCAAGACCCTCCATAGACAGAGCCAATACTCTGCAGCCGTCACTGGACATGGGTAGGGGGGTTGACAATTCTAGATGGCGGTAGCTCCGTCCAGTGTCAAGAAGTGTCAGGTGTAGTAAATATACAGCAGGCTTCCCCAAACTCCGGCCCTCCAGATGTTGGTGAACTACAACTCCCATGATTCTCAGCCTATCTATTTCATTCATGGAATCATGGGAGTTGTAGTTCAGCAATATCTGGAGGGTGGGAGTCTGGGGAAGCCTGCCTTACAGCCTCCCATTCAGTAGTACACAGTCCTGCAATGAGTCCAGGAATAATATGCTGTGAGCCCATCATGCTCTCAGAATCTAAGGTTTCTGTAAAGGTTACCCCACCCCTCCAGTGAATACCTTGACATATTTGTTCCCATAGCTTCCCCGGTAAAGTCTCTCTGCCACTTGATAGAGCCATGGTCCTGTTGACAGTTACTATGACAACGAGCAAGCGGCCTCATTCCATTACCCAGAATGCTCGCGGCGCGTTGGACTTCCGGGTTAGTCAGTGAGGGAGCAACACGTGGGAGTCAGAGAAGCTAGGAGTGCTGGAGGTACGGGGAACCACGTGGGGACGGATAATACACACCATAAACATGTCTTATAACATGTGTGGGCAGCACTTGGAGGGGTGATTGTGTATCTGGTATTAGAATTACCCAAGGGAATAAAACCTGGCATTATAGTGCATTCCTTGCTCTGCTTATACTGGGCAGCAGTCAGTGCTAGTGATAGATACAGTGTGACAGTTCAGCTCTGCTCTGGATTCCCACTCTGAGCTTCTTGGCTGGCTGAGGTTTATTCCTGGTTTAGGCTGTTGTTAATGTCATTTTTTTTTTAATGGCAAATTTGCAAGACGGTGTCAGATCAGGTCCAGTCTTTTGCTGGGAAATGTTTGAAGTATAATTATTACATTATCATTTATTTAGCATTGATAAAGAGCCAGTATGTTTTGCAGTGCTCTGCAACTGTGGGGATACAGGCATCCAATATACATTCTAGTTGGTACAATGAAATAGAGGACCCTACCTGTGAGTCTAAAGGGACACTCCAAGAACCATAACCACTACAGGATGCTTTGCTTTATTGCATATAGTATCCCAGTACTGCAGCCTAGTTTAATATTACACAGTTTAGGGGTGAAAGTCAAGAATCCCTAGTTTTCTCGTATCGAGTCTGTGCATGCTGTGTGGAAAGGTTCTCCTTTTCCCTTGGAAGGACCTGAGCTGCAGACTGTGTATACAGTTTAATGACAGTTTCAGATCATCATATTTGATGATCTGAACTGATCTTAGGGGTTAACTGCTCATCCCATATTCCACTGCTCTCTCCACATAGACCAGTTTGAGGTGCTTCTGATTGGAGCATCTCACCCTGGTATTGGATGAATCTACCTCCAGCTGCAGGTATTCCCATTAAACAATGTTCTAAGGGACTGTTGATTAGGTAATTTGTTTTTATTATTTTAAAATTATTATTTAAATTAGTGCGTTATCTGTATAGTGCACTAAAAATATTGGGTTCAAATTTATCAAGACAAATCCTAGGTAATTGTACAATGTAAGAAGTAGTAGCAATTAAACTTTCCATATAATGGTATGCTACTTTGCACTCTCCACACCCCCTTCATTTTCCCAGTGTGAAAGAACTTCCAAGTGCACTGTCATCCACTCTCATCACCTGTCTGTTAGTAGCCATTTTTGTCAGAAGTGCCACAGGCAGGGCCAGATTAAGAGCCCAGTGGGCCTGGTGCTGACAATTATGATGGGCCTAGTTACAAATTTTTTGGACTAAAAATACTAAAACAGTCCTACCTGCTAAGCGTCATGTATCTGATGGAGATGGTGCTGGAGGGAAACTCATAGGATGCAGCTATGAGAAAACACATACCAATGCTTTCATCTTTCAAGTAAACCCATACCCCCTAACAGCAGTGTCCAGTAAAGCAGGAAGTCTATGGACGGGGCAAAAGGGTGGGTCACTGACACAAATCACATAACCAGAACTGCCGAAAGAGGCGAACATACACAAAAAGGGGGCATGTCTGTGTCCCCATGTCTCCCAGTCCCTTAGTGTCTGTTTCCCCATGTCTCCCAGTGTCCCTATGGCACTAGGACACTAGGGGACATTGAGAGACCTGGGGACACTGAGACTCTTGGGGAAACTGGGAGACATGGGGACACTGGGTAACTTTGAGACATGAGAGGACACTGTGATACATAGGGGACACTGGAGACTTGATAAAGGCCTAGGTACAGGTCAAAATGTTGCGGTGTCCAATAAACCCGCTTAAATCTATCACAGTGAGTGCCTGAGATTTTTTTATTTTATACTAGGGGACACTGAGACACTTGGGGGCGCTGTGAGACATGGGGACACTGAAACACACCAGGGATACTGGGAGACATGGGGCACTGAGACACTCTGATACACAGGGGGCACTGTGATACATAAGGCACACTGGAGACTTGATAAAGACCTGGTTACAGGTTGAAACGTTGCGGTGTCCAATAAATCTGCTTAAATCTATCACCGCGTAATAACTACCTATTTCCAGAGCTAAAAGACTCTGAATGTTGGTGTTAGCTGGAAAGGAACACAAGATGAGGAAATGTATGCTCTTTGATAGAACGCTGCACACCACTTATTTTAATGGTCAGATAGCAAATCCAAAGCCAACTTGCTATACCTCTACCTACTCAGAAAAATAGATGATATATGCAGAAATAGATAAAGAATATACAGTCGTCCAATTGTTCTAATCTCTGACTTTATTGAATGAGGTCTCTATCAGGAGTTGGATTTTCTTATATCACACTGAGTGTCTAGGATACGGGGAGCAGATGGCTGATGTCATTGATTCTACAATATCATAATATAGAACTAGTAGAAGGTTGTTTGTAATTACAAATTGTTGCAATCTCTCTTCTCCTAATTTTGGTTAATGCAATTCAATATAGGAGACAGTTTGAGTGAAGAAACTGAATCAGATAGCTGTCAGGTTAGGGCTTCTGTATTAGCACAGTGTTGCAATATTGTTGCAAAATGGAGCGAGCATAAAGAGGATACTAATTAGCTACAGTTGCTTTAACCCTCAGTTGTATGGGGTTGGTAACTTGTTTCAGATTGCAGCCCCTATCTACTGCTCATATCTAATGCCTGTCTTGAATAAACTTGAAGAATTAAAAAATAAGTGAAAAATCTATCTGTGAACTAGAAATGATTGAGTAGTTATTAACATTAACTCATAAGGTATTCACAGGCAGAATAGAGACAAGAGTAGAAATATAACAGCTTCTCTCTGATTGCTCAATAGACTTAAATCTATCACAGTGAGTGCCTGAGATTTTTTCTATACTAGGTGACACTAGGAGACATGGGGACACTGGGAGACTAGGGGACTTTGGGAGACTAGGAAACACTGCGGACACTGGCACACTGCGGACACTGAGAGACACCAGGGACATGGAGACAAGGGGATACTGAGATACTAGGGACACTGGCTGGAAGACATGGGGACACTGGGAGTGCCCTATGTCTCCCAGGTCTCAAAGTCACCCAGTGTCCTCTTGTCTCTCAGTGTCCCCATGTTGCCCAGTGTCCCCTAGTATTTGTATCCCCATGTCTCCCAGTGTCCCTTATAGTCTGTGTCCCTATGTCTCCCAGTGTCCTGATGTCACTAGGGGACACTTAGAGACATTGGGACACTGGAAGACATGGGGACAATGAGACACTGGGAGAGACATGGGGACATGGAGAGACTAGGGACACTGAGAGACACATGGGGACACTGGGAGACCTGGGGACACTGAGAGACTAGGGAACACTGGGAAACATGGAGCCACTGTGTCCCTAGTGTCTCAGGATCCCCATGTTCCCCAGTGTCCCTATGTCTCCCAATGTCTCAGTGTCCACATGTCTCGCAGGCTCGTAGCTGCTGTCTGGACTCTCTGTGCAGAGCTGCTCCCCCGCGGATCAGTGAGTAGAGAGAGGCAGATGCTGTAACTTCTTATCCCTGCCTCTCTCCACACAAACAGTGACCACTACTGGCTGGCGCTGGTATTGCAGAATAATCTGTTTATATTGAGATAGACATTTGTATTGTTGGTATTATATACCGGCTAGGCAGCCTCAAATACCTGATAAATACTTCTGAGAAATACCTGGCAACCATAAGAAATACATGAGAAATACCTGGCAACCCTAATAGTAGTGTGTGTGTAAAAAAGAAAAATAATAATTTTTAAATCAATGGGCCTATTCCATGGACCTGGGCCTGGAGCTGCAGCTCCATCAGCCCCTATGTTAACCCGGCCCTGGCCACAGGGGTTAGAAAGATGCTGGACCAATGTGAATTAACAGTATAATAATGGGATGTCTGAAATCTTGAAGGTCTCAGTTCTGATCTTTACTTGTAGATTGGACAATCCTTCTATAGCTATATGGAATTTATTAAACCTTACATATTTATTTAATCAATAAGAAGTCTTCGAGAGATGTCCTTCACAATAAATCTGATTTACTAGTTTTGTATTCTGATTTTATATCATTCTTTTTTTTTTAATTTTGCAGAACAATGGCGGTGAACCCAGTTGCAACCAAAAAAAGGAAAAAGAACATTGTAACTGAAGAACCTGATGACTGCCTACCTGTACAAATTGTCCCCAAAAAGAAGAAGAAAAAGATTCCTGACGATGGCAGTGTTACACATGAGGCAGAATCTTCCCAAAAAGGGAAAAAGAACATTGTGGCAAAGGTAAAACAACCCCAAGCAAAAAATAAGAAAAAGAAAAACGTGGTTGAGGAAATCATTGATAAAAATGAAATCTTAACCAAAAATAAGAAAAAGAAACCAGTGGCAGAAAACACTGATGTTTCTTCACCTGTGAGCGAGAATAACAGGATTGTCCCCCAAAAAAAGAACAAAACTAAAATGGTAGTTGAGGAACATGTTGTTCCTTCACTTGAGTCGGAAACTAACAAAATTTGTCCAAAAAAGAAGAAAGAAAATAAAATAATGGCAGAAGAGCAAATTATTTCTCCACTTGTGACAATAGAAAACGAAAGCATCGTGAAGAAGAAAAAGAGGAAAATTATTTCAGAGGAAATTGTTGTTTTGCCTGAAACAAGTGATATTGTTCCAAAAAAGAAGAAAAAGAAAATGATGTCCAAGGAACGCGCTGTTTCTCCCCTTGTGCTTGAAACGAATGAGATTGTTACCAAAAAGAAGAAAAAGAAAACTACGTCCAAGGAATGTACCGTTTCATCCCTGGTGCTTGAAACGAATGAGATTGTCACCAAAAAGAAGAAAAAGAAAATGACGTCCGACGAATGTGCCGTTTCATCCCTTGTGTCTGAAATGAATGAGATTTTCACCAAAAAGAAAAAGAAAATATTGGCTGAAGAAGCCAACCATTCTTCACGAGAGGCCAAACATGTTGCAATGAAAAAGACTGACGCATTGAATGATCCAGAA